AATAATAATAACAAGTATTTTCTCTAGTCCCGTGTAAACTTATCCAACAGTAATCTTTCTTCTGATATTTTGGATTTGCATATTACAAGTATGATGACAATGGGGGAACCGTGTTTATTTTTCCAGGTAAAAATCTACAATTGAAAACTATGTGAAATCTGGTAATTGCACCTTACCTAATTTAACCTAACCTAACCTAACCTTACTTAGTCATGGAGATTCTGGTGACACAGATTAAACTGTCTAAAATAATTAACGTTCCTTTAGTTAAAAATAGTATGTTTAAACTTAACCAATCTTAAATCTATAAAACGTATAAAAGGGAATATTAGCGTAATTTCAACTGCCCCTGCAATGGTATCCTTAAAAGCTTTGTCTGATCAAGTATGAAATAGATTTTGTAATAATTGATTTCAATTTATCGACTAAAGTCACTCTACGACAAGAATTTAAACAAAGAGGAATTATCAAAAACAAACACTTCAAACCCAGAAAAAAAACGATAATATTTTCACAGTATCAGATAAAGGTTTCGAGGTAACGTTGTGAATCGAGCATTGTCATCTCTTAACATTAGGGGTCAATTAAAATAACGCTTAAGAAAGTTCAATTTTTAAATTAAATATTAACTCACATTACTATTCGTTATCCTAACCTAGCTAATTAATTACCAATCACTCCATCATGTAAAATTATATAGATTTAAATTAATTGCTAAAAATTGTAAATAAGATTAAGGTTTAACTTCTAAAAAAGAATTTGAGAAGTTATTTATAAAATGGACAAATTTTGAATTTATAAGAAAAGTAGATATATATGATCCACGAAAGTACCGGGGAGGGGGGGGGGGGCCTGTTTATCCCCTAGACATTAAATATATGTAGATATATATATTAGTCGAAACGCAACAATCTTCTTATCACATATGGCCGGTGGGGGGCATGTCTAGGGGATACACAAAGCCCCCCCCCCTCCCCGGTACACCCGTGGACCATTAGACCTTAAAAAATGATTTTTAAACTTTATGTAAAAATATTTGCATCAAATCTTAAATATTGCATTATCGTCGTCTTCCTATTTAACATTTTTTGTGTCACACTGTGGAAAAATAATAATAAAAATATTTTAACTGCAGTCTAGGATTGAAACCATGCAGACGCCTGGTGCTTTTGCAAAGTCTTGCTTTTATTTGATTTTGCAAACTACAGTGCATACTACAGGCCAAGTAACAAAGCCATGCCAAATCCGTTTATTTTTAAATTAAACTTTTAAAGTCAGACTGGTTTGCAATCAAGTAAAAAATAGGTGCTTGTTCTAAGAACTTGATTTCTATCACAAGATTTAATGTCATGTATTTGTCATAGGATCCTACAAAACAAACATTTGACGGCCATACGTCTACTGAATTTATCAAAAAATCTTATCATAGTTAAAATAGGAACTATGATATTTGTGTCCAAAATCTGATCATGGTTAAAATAGGAACTATGATATTTGTGTCCAAAATCTGATCATGGTTAAAATAGGAACTATGATATTTGTGTCCAAAATCTGATAATTCGAGGTGACGCACCTGAAGCTAGACAACAACTTACTGCGTGATATACCCGAAATCCTGGGGAATTTGACTAGCCTGACGTGTCTCGACCTCAGCAACAATTCTATTTCGCAGGTTCGTTAAAAATATAAAATATAAGTATTGACATTAGTTTCTTTATTTCTATCCTTGAAATATAAAAAAGGAATAAAAAGTAGTGATAAGAAAGTCAATGATATTCTTTTAACACAGTTTGTATATGTTTAAAAACATATTTTTAATATTCTAAAATTAATTTAAATGGAAAATTTATTTTGAGTTATCATAGGAAGCTGTTACGTATGTGTATTGTGTATACGTATAAATGATTGTTAGCAACGCCGGAAAAAGTCAAAGATAAATTAACAGCTTTGAAAAATTTTAAAAATAATTTAGTTATGTTTATTACAATTTTTAAAAAATTATATATTTTGTTAACAAAATTTTTAAAAGAGCATTGAAATTTTTTTTCTCTTACTGTTGTATCTTCTCTTAAGCTGATCATACATCCGTTTTCTGTTCCTCTCTTTTAGATCTACGCAGTTTTTAGTTTTATTGCCTGATCAGGAATGCCCATGACCTGACAAGATGATCAGACTTAAGTTTAAGGCAGGGGGGTAGGTAGGGATGTTAACGTTTTAATTATTTTGAAAAACGATCGTTTTTTTCGTTTTCCTATCGTTTTTTGTTTCGTTTTCCGATGAAATAAAAGTCCCAGCTAAGCTGGGTTTGAAAATTCTGTGGAGCCATTGTCAGAATTCCCCGATATTAACGACAAATGGGATAAGAAAGGTTATGCAATAATTTCAACAAAAGAATTCTTAATTCTTGTAAGTTCATCTCGGACAGTGCTTCAGAATATGGCCTCATCTGCACATCAATCTTTTCCTCGCAGCCGGCAGAGTATGAACCGCTATCATAGTGCTTGGTGCACTGGAATCTATTTTCTATGTTTCCATTTTCCTTGTTTCTGGCAAGAGGGAGGGGGAAGAGAAGCATAGAAAACCCCTCCTTCTCTGCACTACTCTTTTTTTTTGTGTGTACTGCCATGTTTTATACCACACAGGGTTCTGTTCAGCTGTAAGGAACTGGAGAGAGTTGTATAAGAGAGTTCTGAGCTCCCTTGATGCTCACACATAGAACCATATTCAATTGAAAGGATTAAAGTTTTTCCGACAAGTTTGGATACTTAATAACAGCTAATCAGACTTGTTATTAAGGAGTATATTTCAAGTTGTTAGTAGCAAAAGCTAGATCAAGCTAGGTAGAAAACCTCCATTCTCCAGGTTAATACAGTGTTAAAAGATTAATGCAGGTCTTCAATGTTACTTGTAGTTTCGTTTTTTTTTATTTGTGGGCAGGGGTGTATACTGGGGATATACACCCCAGTTAAGCTGGACATTCCATTTTTGTCTAGCCGTTTTGTTAACATTAGAATATTTTGTTAACAATCTCAATTACATTAACAGAATTAAGGAAAATGTGTTAACAATTGTTAACGGCTCTAGCTGTAAAATGTACTAATATTACAAAATTAACGGCAAAAAATGTTGTTAACGGTTAAAAAATTGTTAACGGCACAGCAGTTAATGGTATATTACAGTATTAATGGCGCTAACTGCGAACAAAATTTCTTTAACGGTCTTTAAAAATCAGAGCCGTTAACGGTATATTACAATATTAACAGCATTAACAGCGAAACAAATTTCGTTACGGTTTATAAACACAGAAGACGACATATAAAAAACATCAAAATGCATACAATTAAAACAATGTTTTGCAATATTTATCCAAAAATATCGAAATTCACCGTTTTAGCTTTTTAGTTACCGTTTTTAACCAATGTTATTTTTAGATATAACTAGTTTTAATAAAGTGAAAATAGAAAATTTAAGTTAAATTAATTTTTGTTTTATTTAAAATAAAAAAAAATAGTTTTGAAATATCCTTAAGTTTTTGAAGAAAATCACGTCAATGATAAAATTCACCATGAGGCGATAAAATAACATCCAGCTCTGCGAAGTTTTCATGGAAAAATCGCGTCATTTTTATCTCAAAAAACGATAAAATTGTGTACAAATACTTTTCCAGGAAATTCCCTTTAATTTTCCTTTAAATAATCATTAAAATTTGACAGGTGGGTGATTCTGTTATTAACCTTACAGCCCTCAACAAACTTATTCTCAGGTTAGTTTTTTTAAGATTCGGAAAATATTTTAGATCAGACCTTTTTACTTAGAGGAAATATATGGCCCAATTTCAAGGGACCCTCCATGCAACGAGTGCAGGAGGGTCCCTTGAAATTGGGCCATAGGACTGTGGAATTGAAAGACGACTTTTACTTAAATAATGATTTAAATAGCCAGATGAACATCAAAATTATGCCGTGTACAGAGCTTTGTGACAATATCAAATCCACATAAGATTGATTAAATGTCATCCTCCCTTGTTTGTTGGATCCTACTGTAGATGAGTTCAGAAATATTTCTATTTAATATTTATTTAGGAATAATGAGCTATCAGAAGAAGGACTTCCTAAGGTTTTAAATTAAAATTTTAAAAATATTCTTAAAATAAACAAATATTTGAACATAGAACACACGTACACGATGTGATATATAATTATATAAACAAATAGATTTGCTTAAAATAAATATTTTTAGGATATGATAGCGCTCAGAAACTTGAAAACTTTAAATCTATCAGGTTTAAATTATTTTAACATTTTTCTTAATTGTATCTGCTATAATATTTAATTAGTGCTATTTTCATAAATCATTTTTTTCTCTTACTTGTCTTCTTAGACTATTATGATTGTAATGCAAGTGGAAAAAGTAATACTCTTTTGAGCGCTTTTAACTTTTTACCGCCTGGTTTTTAGAGAGTCTCCAGAAATGGAGCTGTCTTGGGCATAAGTCTTCTCCCTAGGGTGACCAGTTCGGTTAGCCCATGGATACGTTTCGGCGGCTAGGAGCGCCGACCCCTATTTCATTGAATGACGGGTTGTCCTTTAATAATAATAATAATAACATGGAATTTGGAGACGCAAAATTTTTCGAACGGATTAATTGGATCGACCCCTGACGTTTTGTGCATCATTTGCGTATCAATACAAAATCAGTTTTGCACGAAATGTGCATAAATACGAAATAATTAGTAATATTTGTGACATGGTACGGTTGAATTAGTTGCATGAAAAAACTTCCATAGCAGCATTTTTTTCTACAGCACAAGTTACATATGCAAGATAAGTATTATATATTTTGTAGGGTACTATTCAATGTATCACTTCTAACATTTTGGTAACCGTCTTTAATAAAAATTTGTTATGATGAGCATATTATAAAAAGATGCTAATAGCTAAATTTCATTCATTCATTTGCGAGAGCTGTTTTTTGAAATAGCAAAGTAACCAAATACGTAAAAACTAGAATTTTTATGTAAGAGCATATTTTTCTGAAGAATTTGCGCGCAATAGAGCAACTGTTTGAAATTTTTCTTCAAACGTAAAAAACTTTTGCGAAAATATTTTCGTGCTACACTTTCGATTGGAAACCCTTGCTCTGAGTCATACTCCAGACTCATGAGAAGCGACGCGACATCTTCCCATTTGTGATCGATTTTTCTCGTCATTAATAAAATTAAGAAAATGGTCAATATCACCATTTTCTCAGTTTTCCCTTTAAATCTGTCTGGTAGAACTTGATTGAAAATCTTAAAACTATACAGATTGCCGCTTTAAGTTTATTTATTATAGACTGGTCTCTTTGTTACTAATCCTGGATTAGGATCGAACAAATTTATCTTGCTTTAAAGTCCATTATTCACCTCTCCCTCACCCTCCACATATCAAACCAGGGACTTCAAAATCAAAACTTGGCACGAATAAAAATTTATTACTCGCCTTAAAATATTATCTTCCCATCCTTACATCTTTGAAACCTTACAATATCTTTGTTGAAACTTAAAAAGCTTTGATAATGCTTAAAAAGTAGAAGGCGAGGCAAGTACTCTGTTCCTTAAATTACACAGAGAAAACAAAACAGGGTTGCATGGTGGAATAGAAACAGGGGGTGGGGAATTATACACCCACACCCCCCATTTTTACATTTTTCCATGTTCGCCCTAAGGGAGCTGAATATACTGGAATACAAATAAACATCTTGTATTGTGCCAACTTACAATTTTGTAAGACTTTTTTATGTGCGATATTGTAGTATATGCAAGCAGACTTTAGTTTAAGTTTTTAATTTAAGTTTTAAACTTTAAAGTTCAGGTAACCGTTTGACCTGCGTACCACCACAGCTTCTTGATCTAGCTGGGCTAAGGAATCTGTTTCTGGGAGCTAATCAGATTACAGAGATTACACCTGCCATCAACAGGCTCAGGTATAGAGATTTCAAAACTTGTAACAAAACAAAATATTTAAGGATGAAACTATTTGGCACTTTTTTTTGGTTGGGGGTTGGGGTCCTAATTGAGATGCATCATAATCCAGACAATCTGATTTTCTGACAATCTGGGTTCAATCCATATAGCGGAATAGTGGTAAGGCCCTAACTATGAAATCCAACCATTAGGTTACGTGATAAGTTTAATCTATCTATCATAGGCCCCAATAAACAATATCCATACATATACTAAGTAATAAACCGCGAAATCTATTACAAACAATCACCCATTTTGTTCACATTTAATTGCTATACAATTACAAGCTGCTCATGTTTTCTATATAATGGGTTAGGTTAGGTTGGGATTCGATCTGGGTCGAGCGCTGCGGCTAGAATGGGCTAGGGTGCCGAGCGCTGCGGCTAGGATGGGCTAGGGGGCCGAGCGCTGCGGCTATTAAACACTTATTTAAAGTTTGCTAACATTTTCAGAACTCTCAAGATCATTACTTTACAATCTGCCCATGTGTTTGGTAAGGCCTTGTTAGGGGGCGGTCGAGGTTTCGTGATTTAAAAAAATTATATTAGTTTCGGGCCAAAGTTTGAGTTAGGGCCTTACCACAACCTCTACGATTAGAAATTATCACAATCTGTACTTTATTCAACAGTAATCTTAACCCTATTCCTGCTGGGGGGGGGGTCAATTTGACCCCCCCCTGTAGTTTTTTTTACATAACTCAAAAAGTATTGGTCTGAGGCTGTTGAAATTTTCTGACTTTTCTTACATACCCAAAGCCCTCCCTTTAGGCCTAAAACCGGGCTTTAATACTAACTGCCTGAGTTCTCAGGCACACTGCCTGAATGACTGCTTTTGCCTGTAACAAACTAAATCTTTGTTTTGACCCACTTTCACTTGTCAGATTTTGATAAAATTTAGCTTTTCGGAAAGCCTATGACATAAGGAAACGGATTGCACAAGTTTTGCGAGAAAAAAATTGCAAACTTTTTGCAAACAACCTGTCAAAGGAAATTTGCACATTTTTAGTTTTTCTTGATTAAAAATCAGGTTATTTAAAATTTTGCAAAAATTTTGCATATTTGAAATGGCATGGTCAAGGGCTTTTCAAAAATGTATAATTTGTCATTTTTTGGACAAATTTTTTTTTGCAAACATTTTTACTATAAAACTGGATTTTGCGATAAAAAATTCAATTTTCGCAAATTTGCAGTTTTTTTGCAGATTCTAAAAGTAGAGCAGAAGAGCTTTCTAATGATGTATCATTTGTCATATTTGGACATAAAACATGGGATTTAGAGGGGGGGGGGGGTCAAATTGACCACCCCCCAGCGTATCCTGGTTTTCAAGTACCCCAGCAGGGATAGGGTTAAAATTTCAAAATAGATATGCACAATATTCATATTTTCTATAGCATTTTAATTGAACATTTTTTATTCTAGAACCAAACTGCTAAAAATTAAGATGAAAAATATGATTGTACAGAAAAAACATTTGTCATTTTTCAATTTCTGATTCAAAAACAAATAATGCATTAATTTCAAAACATAATAATTTTTGAAGATTGATTGACTGATCATGATTTAATTGAAGACGACTGCGATTGTTGTATCTCGGTGGTAATCAACTGGAAACTCTGCCCCACGAGATCGGAGATTTGAAACAAATGCACGTGAGTTCCAAACTGTTTATTAGAATTAACACTCATGCCCCTTTTACTCCACTGAAGCAAGAGTAAATGCCTTTTAGGAGACTAATTACTCCACCGGAAGTATGATAATTAGTGTACTCAGTGTCCTGAGTGTTAAAACAATCCCTCTGATGTACATTCCAGAGGAGGGAACTGAATATGCTGTTATAATTTTTAATCTCTCTAATCTGTTCAGGTTTTACTTTTGAGTGATAACAAACTTCGTCGGTTGCCAGAGTCGATCTGCAGTCTTAGAAAACTTCAATGCTTGCAGCTTCATAGGTAAACAAAATCATAATTGGAATTTCTATTTTTCAAAGGATTTATCTATTCTTAAAAAGTTTTTTTGCAATTTGACGAAATTTTTTATCGAATAAGTTGTATTATTAAACATAACTTGAAAATATAGATTTTTGATTTGATATAAAAATTGAAGTCTCCCTTAAAATATTGAATAAATTTGAAGATTTGAGAAAAGGAAAAATGTATTCTCTTAACGCTGATGCTTACAAAAAAAAAAAGTTGAATACAGGGAATACATGGGAATCAAGTGACGACATCTATATCGGCTTTGTTCCACACTGCTGTATTTCGTGAATACAATTTTAGTAGTATCACAATTTAAGAATTTAAAACCAAAAAACTATTAGTCTCGGGATTATCAAAATTATATAAAGAAAGGAGACCACATTTTTGAAAGCTCATAAGACATACAATCTTGTTTTATACACTCTTTTGTCATTCATCAATAATCCATGTTTTTTGGGAAACCCTGTGCATAAAACTCCAAATCACATGTAAGATGTAAATCAAATTCTTTTTTTTTGTCAAATGTATCATGCAGCATGCTACTTGTAGAAACTTTCCCGGGCAACAATTTGTCAAGTTTAATTTTGTTTTCGTTTACATAGATGCAAATTGGGTTTTCAAAAGTTTTAACTCTGTGTTACAAGATACATTTGATAGGAAATAGAAAAAAAAATAAGCCCCCCTAGTTGTTAATTTATAGTGTTTTTTTTTAAGTTTTTGTAAAATAGTACAAATTTATCTTTAAAAATTTCTGAAGTTACAATTTTGTTATAAAACAGATTATTTTTATTTATGTAAGCTATGTTTTCAATATTTGCCTAAATCAGAGATGGCAATTTTTAAAGATTTGTTTTGGGATAACTCATAAAATTATATTTTTAGGAATTGTTTGACCACACTTCCACACGGTCTCATCCATGTCAAATCTTTGGCTGAACTTTCACTCAGGAAAGCTTAACAGTAACAGTATATATTGAAAAATATACAATTTTACTTTGACATTTTTTTCATAAAAATTGGTTTGGTTTTTATTGTTAAACTAAATTCAGGGAAAATCCTTTAGTTATGAGATTCATTCGTGATATGGAATACCAGCCAGCCAGCCTACTGGAAATAGCAGGCAGAGTTGTTAAGTAAGCATTATATAGCTAGGGTTCGGTAAAGAAAGTTTTTCAAAATAAACATAGAGGGTTCCTTTAAGGGAACTGTTTGCGTTATTTCAAATGACTTTCCAGGCAAAGATGGCATAACCCGATTCACAACGGTACCCTTGAAATCTTTATTTGATAAATAATGTGAAAAATAATATTGTTTTCCTAGGGTTTAAAGGGTTAAAAGTGTAAATTTTGTCATCTTTGCAGGAAGGGTCACTTGAAATTACATTTACAGTCCCTTTAGCAGATCAAAAGAACCGTTAATTAAGAAAAATATCTGTGATACAAGTAGTAGTTGTGTGTTCAAGGGGGACAGACTGCTTTCTCAATAAAAAGATACAGAGAAAAAACATTCATACCAATCATGGTTATCTATAAAGTAACTATTGTTGCCAAATTAAGGACAAGAACTAAAAAATTCTTGGATACCTCAGTAGTGGAAATGGCTATGTGATACTGTTGACGGAATGTTAAGATTTCTACTCTATGCTTTTGATAGAGTGTGTAGATGCATTTAGCAGATTTTCAACTACAAGATACAGAAAGGTAACGGAAGATATCAGCCACAATTTTGGATCTCTGGGAAAATATATCAAAAATGTATAAAGTAGACATGGAAACTACTAAAGGTAAAGAGGATGAGGACAGGGCACGACTAAAGAATCTAACAGTTTACCTGGGAGCAGGAGTGTTCAGGAACAGATTTCTTATCTCTATGGTGTAAAGAGAACATAACGGGACGGAATAAACACTCTAAACAAGAGGGGGAATGTAGTGAAGCCGGTTGGTGTCTGGTACCGGAACTAAAAAGAAAATGAGAAAGATTAAGTCCCCTCCGGCTGATATTTTTCATTATGGTATTCCTTAAAGTACCATGCAAAATCAGTTCTAGCTGAAGTTCTGGAAAAAGCCTTGAATCCCACAGTATTCTGCTAGTTCGTGTCCGTGAATTTATCCACTATCAGAAGCAAAATTTTGAGAGAAAAGCAGTGCAGTTGCTGCTGCAACAGCAATACAATGATAAACGCAGCTAGTGATTTGTGCCGAAGAACAACTGAAATATTTTGATGTCCCGTTGAGCATGCTTGGAGTGACGGCCAGTTCCTATTAAATAAGAACGGTTAATGACAAAGATTTAACTGCAATTTATGTGCTGAAAGATTAGAAAATGATGCAGTTTTTCAATAAGTAATAATTAATGTCGCCTGATATTGAATCTTGTATTTTGGTACAACTATATATTCCAAAACTCTTATAAAACAAATTTAAACTAAACCATTATAATATATTTATGTATCTCGTGTGTGAATATAAAATAACCTTGTAAAAATCTCATTTTCAGAGTTTTTACTAAAGTTGCTTGTTTGCAGTCGGATTTTAGAACTTCAACACAACATTAAGTCAACTTAGACACTTTTATCAATAAAAATATTCCATAGCGGCAAAGTCATATTTGACATAAATAAGAGGCTTACAGAATGAACTACTTTCCTTTACACAACGGGTTTTGTCAAAATCAACAGGTTAAAAGGTATATTCGGATGCCTGGAAATCTGCCATAATTTCGTACACTTTAGGGGTCATAACTTACAGTGTACAAAACTACAAAGGTTACACGGGAGATGTAATGCAAAGATTGCTTTTTTTACATAAAATTACAACAAATTTAGAATAATCCAATTATGTTAATAGATTCTATCGACCATTAATCAAAGATTTGAGGGCGTCGCAAGCGCACCCAAGAATTTGTTTCGTCTTTGATTCTTGTTTAAAATACCTAATTTACTAATTTTCACGGAAATTACCAGTTTTCGTCGGATTTCAGAACTACAACGGAACTTAAGAGGTTTATGGTGTAAACTTGTTGATACTCCCCCCCCCCCAATCCCTTTTTTTTTGGGGGGGGGGAGAAAGTGCATGGTCAAATCTTACCTTTCTTATGTACAAGGTAACCCAGAGAGGATGAGACTTAACAGAGATGATTGAGGATTTATATTTATATTTTATGATTTTCTGCAAAGCTGTAAACTTGTTTTTTTTGCCTGCTCATTGATTAAGCCATAAACAATTATATTCAAGGCAAAAGACTTATTTTAACCACGGAATTGTTAAATTTCAGGTCATTTTTACAGTTTCATACTTTGTGGGTAACCGAGGTAACCGGCCCCCTGTAACAATGTCTATGTTTTCAGGCAAAATAAGATTCCCTACGAAGATAACGATTTACCTGCCTCCTTACACAGCTACTTAACCTGCGCACATGAATGTGTTAACCCAAGCTGCAGAGGAGTTTATTTTGATCACAGGTACTTATCTGTATATGTAATAAATAGATAAAATAAATGATAAATGAATAATATAGGGTTGAGCATGTGAAATTCTCCGATTTTTGTGGCAAATATAAGGTTCCTTTGCTCCAATATCTGTGCAGTCCCAGGTAAAAATAATCTTTCAAAAAAACTGAATTTATTACCAAAAATTTACATGCGCAGATGCCGAGAGCAGTTGCCAGAATATCGGGATTGTGAAGTGGAAGACGAGCTGGCCGAAAAATCACAGCGTCTCAAAAGAGTTTTACTGGGCTGAAACAATTCATCATAATAATTCAAGAAAATGCTTGAATAAATGTTAAATACAAAGTTTTTTTTATAAAACGTGTTGTCCGCTTTCACAAAATATAAAATGCTCCCGGTAAGTTTTAGATTTTTCAAATTGTCTTAAAAATTTTATCACATAAATAATAATCATATTTTTCGGACTCTTAAACCTTTTGATGTCTACTGTAATTTTTGCATTATTTCAAGTAAATATATTTTATTATATACTTCTATGAATTTATATAGCCTAAGCTATTTAATAATATTAGTGTCTAACCCACAATTTCATTAGTCATTGAAAACTATAGAAGGATAAGTTTTGCGATGCAAAACTATTCTTTCAGTTTTTCATAGTGTTCGAGAATTAGTCCTGGAAGTAATAATTATCATGGTTGGAGACATAATCATTAATCAATGCTAAGAAAGTGCCAGCGACAGCAAAAATCAGGGTTTCCCAAAATGAGTGACGTCAGTGCTCTCAAAATCGGATACAAAATTGGGTCTTAAATGAAAAAATTGAGAACGCTGATGGCAATTTAGTGTAACTTGCATGTTTTTGTTTTGAACTAATACTTTAACAGTTCTGTCGTTCGTTAATGGAATTTTCCATTTATTTTGTAAACTATTGTCCTTTAATATAATAATATATAGAATAATATATATTCAAGATAATGGAAAGTTGGAAGGGAAAAGAGAATTAAAGATATGAATTGCACAGTAATCTACAACTACATGAAACCCACCCTAAACTAAGCTTTCGGTGCGTTCTGCAGTAATTAGCAGTACACTGACCGAAGATATAGTAGCGTTTAGTGGATAGTGAACCAATGTAAGCAGTTCACCATAAACCCAAAGGACCGGGTCGGCTGAGAAGTGTTGACAGGCTCTGGCCTTAGCTTACCTGTCTTATCTTTCCCACCCTTTGAGAGTTGAGACCATAGAATAATAAAACGAAGAGGTAAAGCTTTGCTCAGATGTACACAACCAACCTCCCTATTAATTAATTCATAGAGTGGTCGGTTGTATACATCACGATATGTTTACGTATCTAAAGCTGTACACTTGTATATAGAGTGATCGTATTTCTAAGGGGGATTTTATGGAATTGACCAATTTTTTGATTGTCTTTCTTTATTTAAAAAGAATTCGATGATGTTTACTGCAAACATTTGACAATTTTCAAATTTGTAGGTTTTCAACTTAAAAGCTAAAAGTTATGTCAAAAATATTAAGTTTCTAGGGCATGAATTTAACTTAAAACATTCTTATTTCAAACATTTTTATTGTTTCTTCACTTCAACTCTTTATCATAAACATTACAGTGTATGCAGGGTTACCCACAAAGGATGAAACAACAATGACGACCTGGAGCTCTTAAGCCTAAACATGCTTGGGGGGGGGGCGTTTGGCTCCCCCTCTAGATTTTTGACTAATTGTTTGACTTTTCATAAGTAGAAATTTAAAGGATTATTTAGTAAATTCTTTTATGCATAAGGGCGATACAAAACCGGAGTATGTAAAAAAAAGCTAGTATAGTCCATAACTTTTTTATGACTGAAGCTACAGTTCTGAAAACTATATTTTTGAAAAGCCCTTGAAAAATGGGTGTAGAAACATGTGTCAAACTTTGATATTTGTTTTAAACAAAAAATATTTTTTCTCTCATTTTTTCGACCTTTTTATTGCATTTTTTTCCGACCCTCCCTAGCACTATAAAAGTTATCGATCTAATTTTATTTAAATGAGCTGGCCTTGATAAATTTGGCTATGAACATACATTTTAACTCTAAACCTATTCGCTAAGGTCTTTTTCTAAGGGGGGGGGGCATGGGACGCCCCCCAGTCTATACATAGATTAAGACCCCCCAGCCTTTATAGGGTTAAAGATAAACAACAATACACACCTAAAGTTGAGAGCAATGGTGTTGAATTTTTCTTCAAACTTGGCTTTTTCCCTTATTTATATCTCCTTCTTTAAAATGGTTTGAGGATATTCTCTGGAGTCTGCCAACCTTAAACGGTCCAGCCATGCACAATTGTTTGGTATTTTGAAACAAACAACTGAACTTAAATGTACTGCAGCATACAAATCCTGTGTTTACAACCCATATTAAGTGTCTATCTAATTATTAATACTAATATTCAAATATCTACATAAAACCACCCCTTAGAAATACGATAACTCTATATACAAGTGTAAAGTGTTAGATACGTAAACATAACCTATTAATTAATTAATAGGGAAGTCGGTTGTGTACATCTGAGGTAAGCTTTACCTCTTCGTTTTATTACTCTATGGTTGAGACCCTGGATCAGTCTTTAAAACCTGATTATTTTTTAGTTAAATTATTCAGTCATAACAATTTTAGACTCAGAATATTTCCTCTAAATACTTTTCGGAGTCCTTGGGCGTCTTCGACTTTATATATATATAAATCAGTATTAAATTTCTATTTTGCAGACTACACCATTTTTAATATTCTCAGTTAGTATATCTTGAGTTTCATTTCATGATTATTAACAACCATGTGAATATGTTATTTCATAGGGAATGGAAAATGGGAAAAGTAGAGTAACCTTACTTTCATTGCTTTTAAAACTTATAAAAGTTAAAAATTTATCTATGAAAATGAAGAAAAAAATATATTTTGTATTCTGGTATTTGTTGCGTTGTAGTTCTCTATCCTATTGCGTTTTTCAAGGAAAGTCAAATGATAAATAAAAACCTGTAAATCTAGTTTTTATCTTTCCATCTAAAGAGTCAATTTATAAGTGGAAACCTTCAAACCAGTTTGTATAATACAAATAGATATAATTTTCCATTCGCATTATTACAACTTTTCGTTCAGAGTAACGAAGAACTCACAGGGACTTTTTTTCAAAATATATTTTATTAGACTACTGAGTTATGATGTATTTCTAATTCTATTCTGCTCCTTTGATTGCCCCTTCCTGGTTTAGCTGAAGGCAATACGGGTTTCTTAATCTCTCTTGAAATAAGAGGCTTGGGCCAAACAGGATTTCAGAGTGACTCCTTAATACGGAAAACCGTTTAATGAAATAATACGGGACATTTCAATGTCTTAGTAAGACAATTAAATTGAGTTTTAAAATTCTTACCTAGACCTGAATTTTTAGCTTTTTCAGATATAATATAAGTGCTTAAGTGCTATCTAACTTTACTAACCATGATAATCTGATTTTATTATTGAACTTATCATAGTCTGCAACATGAGATAAGATATCATTGATTCATATTAGTCGACCCTTCTAATCTGGAAAACCGTTTAAATCATTCATCAGAAAATCTTGGAGACAAAAACTAGAAATACACGAATTACCAGTTACCAGGTGAAAAGGGTACACCGTACACAAAAACAAATTAGTGCGTATTGATCTTGTCCTTTATTGGTTTAGTGTATTAAAACCAGTTTCTTAAAAAATGAAAATGAAAAAAATCCTGAAACTATTCAAAAACTTTTTTTTCTGAAATCAAAATTAAACATCGTTTAACAAAATTGAACAAAATCATAAGAACAGTGTATCTAAAACCAGTTAAAACTAGCTTTTAAAAAACTTAACTCTGGTTCCGTAGGTCGCATTTCAGCTTCAGTTTAGGAAACACAATCAAGTTCTACGTTTCATTAACAGAGTATATTTCTGTCAAGGTACATTTTACACTAGTACACAATGCCCATACTTATTTTCTTTATTAAATCATATGTGATAGAGAATGAGTGTGTTGTCGTCCTTTTATCCGTTTGTTCTTTGGAATGTAAAGGATCGTGTTACAAGGTTTAACATATTCAATGAATGATTTATATTCATACAGTGATTACTAGGTTCTATATGTTTGTGAAACATACTTTAGAACCACATTTTTTATGTATTTTAAAACTCTCTCTGTTAGGTGTCCAATCTATAAATATTGCTTAATTCTAATATTTTTGTTATCTAAAATTCTCACTTTAGATATACACATACACAATTGTGGACTGTGGTGTCTTTTTTATAACAAAAAAGTACTGCTCTCATATTGTAGTAGATTGTATTATTTTTGTATCATAAAAATACAAAAAAGTGAACTTTTTTTAACCTGTATATCTTTGTAACCCGATGGTGTATTTCTTGAAACGTTGATTACTAGATCCAGCAGAATTTAAAGTTTGCTTTTTTTGTTTTTATCCAAGATTTTAACGTCGTTTATTTTCATACAAACTTTTTTTTCAGATTAGTTAAAGCTTAATATATCATAGCTTTATAATATTGTTAAGAAACAATTTCATAAAAAGACAATCTTGAATTTGAATTTCTAAAATAATATCTTTAAAGTTATGTTTGAGCCAAAATCTATTTTAGGATGGACTGCAAAGCTTCGATTACGTTTGACGAGTTATTAGATGGACTCCTTGAATACTTTAAGGTTTTTTCGCTTAGCATTTTACTGCAATTATTATTATTATTATCATTATTATTATTATTATTATCATTATTATTATTATTATTATTACTAGGAAGGAAAGGAAAATGTAAATGTTGAAGAGGTTATATCCTGGTTTTCCAGGTAATGTTTTACAATAATTTCAAAATATCTTTATAATACAAAGAGCTTGGTCAGAGAAAACTTTTTAATTTGCCCTTTATGTTCGCATCCAAAATGCCTTATTTAATCGAAAACTAACTCTTGATTTTCTATTAATAATTTTTGCCTTTGTAGCTCATCTTCTTGTGATGCCAAAAAATTACCAAAAAATTAGAAAAAAATTCTAGAAATCTGCGAAAACCTTAAGGTTAAAAAAGTTGGAACAGGGTGGATTTCTTCTAGTAATTAGTTTTAAAAAATACTAAAAGCATTTTTCATTTTAGGTATAAAAATGACCCCAAAGATTGGGTAAAGTTTGCCAAGTGGGATAAATACAAATATACGAGGAACCTCATACATAAAGGTAATGTATTAAACAATAGATAAAGTACCAACCTTTCAAACGATATATGATTAATCCATATTTGTTCATACCGTTTCCTCATACATCAAAAGAGAACATATCACATATATAAATTCAACTTGTTTGTCTGGATCCAAGAAACGTTAAAACGGCATTAACGATCGGGCCGAAATTTGTGTGGCAACTCACACGACCCAAAGGAAGATTAAAAAAGAAAATAAAATCTGAAAAATGTGATTTTTTCAAATTTTAGACATCAAGCAAGCATGAAGATCCATAAAAAAAGATTTTTACAATTTCGAAGAAAAAAATGGTGCTTGAAAAACACTATTAAACTCTTAAATTGTTACTAGAAAAAGAACACATAGCGCCCTGGTATCCTAATGTCATATGTCAAATGTCAAATGTCAAATGTCATATATCGAATGTCATATGTCAAATTCCTAGTTTGTTGCATTTCGAAAACGAAAAAAAAATCATGTTTTCAGGAAATGGAAACTTTAACCTAATCTTGATGTGCTGGCCAGAGGGTGTTATTTCACCAATACATGATCATTCAGACTCACATTGTTTCATGAGAGTCCTGGAGGGAGAAGTAAGGGAAATAAGGTATCTATTCAAGTTTTCTTGTCGTTAACAGATTCTTGTTGAACAGAGCATCTCTGGGGAATCTAAAGAGCATCTCTGGGGAATCTAAAGAGCATCTCTTGGGAATCTAAAGAGCATCTCTTGGGAATCTAAAGAGCATCTCTTGGGAATCTAAAGAGCATCTCTTGGGAATCTAAAGAGCATCTCTTGGGAATCTAAAGAGNAACTTTTCTTTTACAGGATGGGAATCTAAAGAGCACCTCTTGGGAATCTAAAGAGCATCTTTGGGGAATCTAAAGAGCATCTCTGGGGAATATAAAGAGCATCTCTGGGGAATCTAAAGAGCATCTCTGGGGAATCTAGAGAGCATCTCTGGGGAATCTAAAGAGCATCTCTTGGGAATCTAAACAGCATCTCTTGGGAATCTAAAGAGCATCTCTTGGGAATCTAAAGAGCATCTCTGGGTAATCTAAAGAGCATCTCTTGGGAATCTAAACAGTATCTCTTGGGAATCTAAAGAGCATCTCTTGGGAATCTAAAGAGCATCTCTGGGTAATCTAAAGAGCATCTCTGGGGAATCTAAAGAGCATCTCTTGGGAATCTAAAGATTATCTCTTGGGAATCTAAAAAGCATCTCTGGGGAATCTAAAGAGCATACTTTTTGAGATAAATTCTAAAGTTTCGAAGTGACTATGCATGGTGTAGTTGAGTACCATTTCAGTAAATTTAATTATATAATAACATCGTTATTAAGGTATGCATGGCCTGAGGAAGTTAAAAACGAGGACGGATCCCTTCAGGAAAGTGGAACTAGGACAGTGGGAGCTGGAGAAACTATTTATATGAGTGATGAACTTGGACTTCATAGGGTATAATTTTCTAGTTATGATTTAATAAAAAACTTGTTTTATATTTTTTGTTTTGTTTATGGGGCTCTAGTACTGAATCAGTTTATTCAGTTTAAGCATATTTTAGACATGTTTAAACATAAGATACCTGATTAATTAATGCATTTATAATTAAATTAGGTGGAAAACCCTAGTCATATGAACAAACTCACGTCGATTCATCTCTATTCCCCACCTTTCGACTTCTGCAAGGTAAAAGTTTAACCAAATAGATAGTTTCCATATATGGTTTTCATTTGTATTTCAGTTGTGCAAGAAAAGCGGAAAATGTGTTTATTTTCTCTTTATTTTGAAAGTTTAAAGTTTAAAAAAGTAAACAAATTTTAAAATATCTTTTAAACAAATGTAGAATAGATTCGGTTTGTATCTGATTTCTTGCCTCTAGGTATTTGATCCTCGTACAGCTAAACGAACAAAGATAAACATGGTTTTCTACAGCAAGTTCGGAGAGAAAGAAGACACTAAGAAGGCAAAAACTGAGGAGAAAGCAGTTAGCAAAGTCTGAAAGTTTTAACCTCTTTCCTAACACGAATAAAATCCTCTTATTGCGTCTTACTTTTCAAATATTGTTTCTATCTTATTTTTTTGCTTTTCGGTATATATTGGTTTAGTCTAGTTTGAGAACTTCACATGCAAAACTTGATTTTGATTTTGCGTTGATTCTTTTAAAGACGTATTTTTGTAAAAATGAAATATAAAATGTACAAATAAATAAAATAAATGTTGCAATCTATACAAAAATTTATTATCTCATCGTGCAAAAAAAACATCATAAATTGATACTTATACAGAGAACTAAAAAGTGTTAAATTAATGGGAGAATAAAATATATTTTTTTCAATAGTATACCTGGTGAAAACATTTGATCCAATCAAACAAAGGCCCAGAAGAGAAAGTGACACTTTCCCAACTGACAATTACCAAAAAGGTAAAGCCGGAACTTCACAATTGGAAAGGAATCGTGTTTTTTGCCACAAACTCTGGATTTCTTATTATATATATCTTTGTAATTCAATGCCATAGAGCTTAGATAAAGGGCGAGGGAAAAAATGTTGAGGACTTTTCAAAATTGTCGGATAAAAGCTAGAAGATCGGCCAAGTTGTTATGAAAAATTCGTAAAATAGTTGTTTTTGTATCTGCCAGAGTTCCTGTACTGTTTCGGGAAAAAAATTTATTTTTCGCTCTGTGAAATTCTTAAATTGTTACGTCTAATCCGTCGATTTGAACAGTACATGAAAGGATTCAAACTTATATCGGGTTTTTATATCCAAAATATTATTTTTGAAGAAAATCTATACTACTATCCTTAGCTGATATTGTTAGAACTCAGTCTGACGCACAACCCTTTGATGTAAATTTAGCAAACTTTGATCATATTTATCTTATATAAAATGAAAATCTATTTTTTTTAATGAAAATCGTGATATTAAAAATGAAAAAATCTTAATAAAAAAATTCATGCTAAAATTGACTGAAAATCTAATTTTCTGAAAACCTGAGTCTTTCCGTTTTTCAATCTATCTTTACGGCATGCAACCCTTCATGAACATTTAACTACCTGTAGGCTGTACAACTTAGCTCCGAGTTTTGATCAATACTGTCTTCTCTCTCTGATATCAAATATCTCGTCTGATCGACGGATAAGTCAGTCGTCATTATCCTCTCTATCATTCAACCTCATTACAAAATAATTTTTTACTCATTTTATACTGAACTTTTTAATTTTTAGAAACTGTGTCTGTTTTTATCTGAACCCGGATCAGATTATTTTTGAAATATCATCGGTTTAGATCCGAGCCCTGAGCAGGTATTGCTCATCACATATGTCTTAAACCCCAGAGCTAAGATGAAACCAAACTAGTTTTAACAAGATAACACAAACAAAAATGTACATAAACATTTCGAATCAGTATCATTTTGACAGAATTTCCCGTCTTATTCTTTCCCGTCTTCTCTTTTCATACATTCAAACAAATTTCTAAATTTATCCTATTTCAATTACACCCTGTATGAAAGTTCACTAAAACATCTTAATTCTAAATTCTTTCATTAATTTTAATATTTTTGCCTGCTTGAAATTCCTAATAATCGCATCTTATCTCTTCAACGCTTTCAACGAAATCAAGGTTTTCTATTTCCGTACACACAAAACCATTTTTAACCAGAAAAAAATCAATCAGTAATATACTCAATTAAACATTTTTGTAAAACACCGACTTCAATCGGTATTCTGTTCCGGTCCTTGCCAGTAATGCCACGCATTGGAATTTTTTAGTCCTGAGAAAATGTTGGAAGCCTAGTTGTTTGGTTAAACGTTGGGCAGCAAATTCTAAACTTTTCTTTTACAGGATGAAAAAACCCCCCTCTAACAATATAAGGCCAATAATTCGCGCATTTCCAAACAGGGACAAAAATAATTACAGTAATATTACAAAATGTACAATATGTTTAAACAAATCAATTATTAGTCTAGGGGGTGGACAGGCCCAATATATTTCATTTGGATAAAGTTCTTGCGTAAAACAATCCATTGACGGAGTCAATTTAAAGTAGTTTGAAATCATACGGAGTCAATTTAAAGTAGTTTGAAATCATTTTGTAAGTTAGTTTATCGACCGACCATTCGTGAGCAGAATTATAAATTTTGATCAAATTTCAGCTAAAGTTAAATTTTTATCTGTCCTGGCCTTCCCCAGACTGGTACAATATATTCATTATTTACAAATTCATAACGCTTTAGTTTTAATATTTCAGTTTGAATATATAACTTCCGAGACCCTTTTTTAAGGAAAGAAAAACGATTTTTTGAATCGATAACCAATAAATGATACTTTCTTCGTTATTTTTTTCAGGTATGTAGATTTCAGTGAATTTTACAACAGAGAGTAACTCTCTAAAACTAGAAGATAAATTCTTTTCAGTCTCATTAAATTCTAATTCTTTTACAATTTCAAATTTGTTAGACTTGTTTACATTAGATTTCTTCATATCAAATATGAATGCATGAGAATCAGAAGCATCTGAGTACATAAATAATTCATTCTTAGATTGGACGTTTCTTTCCATTTCTACTGTGTAATCTTTTTCATGAGGATAAACGACTTTGACAGGGGTTTTTGTGTTGATAATTCTTTTGACATTTAATTCTATGATATTATCGAAAAAAATATTTCAGTTCAATTTTGGCATGGAGATCCAAAAACACAACCCTTCCAAATCCTGTGCATTTTTTTCCACATTGTGTACCCACTTCCCCAAAATATGCTGACTAATTGGTTATAATATTGACTAATGACAATGTCTTGTCATTAGTCAATATTTCCATGAGATTTAAAATTCGGTGATGGATTTCAACCTTTAATCTCTTTTCAAAATCCATTTTTCATTCAATACTTTGCAAATCAATTCTTTCATTACAATCAATTTTTTACAGGTGAAAAACACATTAAATTTATGGAATCTATAAACATTCTTAGGTAAAATTACTGTTGAATTGGCATTAACGTGGACTTTTTAAGGTTCACATTCCATCCAGGCGCGTAGTGGAGGTTTAGCCGAGAGGGGTGCACTTTTGGAACGCCGAAATTTTTTTGTGCACCCCCCCTAACGGTTGATGTGCACTCTCTAAAAAACCGGTATTAAGAAAAAATAAAGTTTAAAATCTATATTAATCTACTTGAATGCTGACTATTAGTCATCTGACCATAATTACCAATCATTTTAAATGAAACCCCGCGAAAAAAATATTGTAAATAAGATAACAAATTTGAAAAATAATTATAAAATGGACAAATTGTGACATTGCCGATTGATAAGAAAAGTAAAAAATCTGAATATATATGTAAGCTTACTGTTTAATAAATTGGAGCCTGCCTCTGGCTCTGACCTGATTCCATCCTGACACGTTCAGACTTTGACACAAAATTCGGTGTAATACATACTTCATAATTTTCGTTCATTATTCTAATATCATCGATGTATATAGAGAATAAAATTGAAAGAGAATGCATATATGTACAAATTGGGTTTAACAATTTTCTAACACAATACATTGCATATGCATTTTCCGAATTGTAGAATTGTGAACACATAAAATCTAGTTTCCCCTTCAAAAGGTAACTCAAACCCAAAAAACTCATACATGCTTTCATGAAGTTTCACATGGTGGAATATAGAAGTTAAATCTAAGCTTAGTTTGAAAAATATTTTGGGTCACCCAAAGTTTCAAAGTGTTTAAATTCTGTAACTTCGTATGAGGAACGATCATATATTTGCTGCTGTGTCTTGAAATGTCAATCACCAGCCTTAGCATAATTCTAAAATGTGGTCTGTGCTCTCAATATTACCGGAGATATCATTAATTTTGTTCAGATTTCAACAGTTTTGCTTTTATTTAATAAATTATAATCTAAACGAATTTTAGAGCACAAAAAAAGGCAAATCATATTTTGGAATTAACAGGACTAGGAGGAGACTGTGGTTTTAACACCTATGTATCTATGTTCTGGACTCCTATGAATAATTCTGAAAAGTTTTAAATTATCAATGACTTTGGTTTGTGTATGTATCCATGAAACAGAAAAAGGCCGGATTTTAAGAATTTGTTTTCCAGGTATGAGCATTTACTGGATATGGCACAGAAGAAAGAGGAAGGGACAGACCCGGCCGACGATCCCAGAAAGTTGAAACCAGGTTTTTTTTTATTAGGATATTTTGTTAAATTTTTTTTTTCTCTTTATTTTCTTGATCTCGTTTTAACCAATTCACCTTTTTAACTTGTAATTCGTTTCTTCCGCGTTGATTTTGGATAAAGTTATATTAACCATTTTATTTATAACACTTATGTTTTTATTATTATTTTTGTGTGCTCACAGTTGTTATTTTCGGTACATAAAAAAATTAGATGGCACCATTGTTGTTATCTAAGACATTCCTTTCATAAATTAAAAGTTTCCATAAAACTAAGTGAACAAACCTTTTAATCAAACCTGTTGTTTCCAGGAGAGATAGACCCTAACCCTGAGTCTAAACCTGCTCGACCTGACCCAAAGGACATGGACGAGGACGAGCTGGAGATGTTGAGCGAGGCCAGAGCAAGGCTGGCCAACACACAGGTATACTTTATAGCATGGGTGTTTAATGTCATTCTAAGGGGGCGGCGAGGAGNAATGAGGAAGGCAACTAGAAGGCAATGTCAGTTCATTGACAGGACAAACCTTTGCCCTTCATGGTTCAATAAATGTTAATTACATAAAGTGGGGTGTGGGTGGGGGTGGGATTATGTTTTTTACGTATACAAAATAGTACTTTTGGATGGATGTAAAATATTATTACTGTTCTAGCATTTTCAATTTTATCATTCAAACTGATTATTTTCTTTTCAGGGTAAGAAAGCTAAGAGGAAGGCGCGTGAGAAGCAGCTTGAGGAAGCACGTCGACTGGCTGCACTACAGAAGCGTCGTGAACTACGCGCTGCGGGTATCAAGACGCGTTTGAAGTACGGGACCCGTCGTAATCGTCCGATCGATTATAACAACGAGATTCCGTTCGAGAAGAAACCATCTCAGGGATTCTACGATACTGCGTCGGAGGTAAAAAAAAAAAAAAAAATTAGCCAACGATTTATTTTGGTATTGCAATTTTTTTTAGGTTTATGACAAAAATGATCCCGACTTCAAGCGACTGCGAATGGACCAGGTAGGTTTTTATGATTGATTTTTAAAACTTTCATTTTTATGATAATTAATTATCTAATTTTTATGTTTCGATTTATGAATTGATAAACGAACTTCTTGAAATATAAAGATTTTGATCCATGGATAAGAAGATCAAATTCTTAAATATTGATATTCATGACTGTCATTGTGTGACTCAAACTCAGTCTGGGTTGGGTTAGCTTAGAACATCTTTTCAAAATAATGTTTTTAGAAGTTACTTCAAACCAGATATCCAAGCATTTATGGTTGATGATTTTATGGATGATTTTATGGGTTATTTTATGGATGAACTCGTAGATGGATGATCTTATGGATGATATAATGGATGATTTTATGAATGATATTATGAATGATATTTTAAATGATATTTTGAATGATATTATGAAAGATTTTATTGATTATATTATAGATGATAATATGGAATATTTTATGGATGATATTATGGATGATATTATAAATGGAATATGGAATATTTTATGGATGATATTATGGATTATATTATAAATGATATTATGGATGAATAATTAGATGGATGATATTATGGATGATAATAAGGATTATTTTATTGATGATTTTATGGATGATATAATGAATGGTATGATAGATGATATTATGAATGGTAAAATAGATGATTTTATGGATGTTTTTATGGTTGGTATGTAGGATGAATATGGATGAATTAGATGATATAGATGAATATTTAGATGGATCTGAAGAGGAGGGATGAAGCAGAAAACAAAGAGAGGAACAAGGATAAGAAAGTGATGAAACAGAGAAAGGAAAATGATATTCCACAGGTAAACACTTCTCACTCACATTTCGGCAAGTGGTAGTTTTTCTAAAGTTAAATTTAAAATAACATCAAATCTCTGAAGTTGAATTTATGATTAAAAAGTTTTCTGTTTTGCAGGAGTTGTTGAATAACGACGAGCCTGCTAGGAAACGATCTAAGCTGGTTCTACCTTCTCCTCAGATCTCGGATATAGAGATGGAACAGATTGTCAAGCTGGGACGACATAGTGAGGCAGCCAGGTTAGCAGGGGGGTTCAGAGCTCAACACTTGGGCTTTAAATCCTGGGGATCAAGCATTAATCCATAGNGGGGGGGGCGGGGGTCGGATCTTAATAGCGGGGGTCGGATCTTAATACCCAACTGAAAGCCATAAATAAAGCTGTCAGTGAAAATTGTAATGTACTTGCAAACTTTTTATGATTATCTCGCCTTTAGACTCGAAATCTTTTTTAAAAAGAGATGTTTTTGTCCCCAGGACATGATCGGGTTATTACACTTGAATCTCGGAATTTTTCTATTGCAAAAGTTTGGTGTTGTAGGGGTTTTATATTGATCTGCCAGTATCTGGCAGTACATTCATCTTTCCACGCTTGATTTATTTTAGATTTTTTACTAATGCCAAGGGTTGTAATCTGGCAGTATATTCATCCGTCCACGCTTCATTTATTTTAGATTTTATACCAATGCCAGGGGTTGTAATCTGACAGTTTATACATCCGTCCACGCTTCATTTATTTTAGATTTTATACCAATGCCAGGGGTTGTAATCTGGCAGTACATTCATCCGTCCACGCTTCATCTATTTTAGATTTTATACTAATTTTGATAAATACTTTGTTCAGGGATGCCGTTATTGATGGAGACTCTAATAGAGCATCAGATACACTACTATCTGACTACTCCGTCACTCCTGGAGCTGCACTTAGGACTCCCAGGTAATATTATCTACTCCTAGGCTATGTATAAGACTCCTATATATTTATGCTTATAACACCTATGTATCTATGTTCTGGACTCCTATGTAGTATGTATCTATATGTAGGACTCAATGTTTCGGTCTCCTCTGTATCTATGCTTAAAACATCTATGTATCTATGTTTATTGTTTAGGACTCCTATGTATCTATGTTTAGGACTTCAAGTATCTATGTTAAGGACTTCTATATATCTCTGTTTAGGACTCTATGTATCTATGTTTAGGATTCCTACGTATCTATGTTTAGGAATCTTATAAACATATAGTTATACTACTATGTACAATGTTTAGGACTCCTATTAATCTTTGTTTATTACTCCTATGTCTCTCTGTTTGAGACTCCAATGTACCTATGTTTAGACTACTATGTGTCAATGTTTACGAGTCTTATGTATACTATGTTTAGAACAACTATGTATCTATGTTTAGAACAACTATGTATCTACGTTTAGAACACCTTTGTATTTATGTTTAGGACTCCTATTAATCTTTGTTTATAACTCCTATGTCTGGGTCTCCCATATTGGGGGGGCTTTCAGATTTAACTCTTTATCTTTATCTTTATGATTTGATTTTATGTCTCTCTGTTTGAGACTCCAATGTACCTATGTTTAGACTACTATGTGTCAATGTTTACGAGTCTTATGTATACTATGTTTAGAACAACTATGTATCTATATTTAGGACTCCTATGGTTCAGGACAAGATTCTGCAGGAGGCTCAGAACATCATGGCTCTGCAGAATACTGACACTCCTTTGAAGGGAGGACTCAACACTCCCCTTCACAATGAGGGTGGGGACTTCAGTAGCATGACCCCCAGCAGGGAAATCGTAGCCACGCCCAACACCGTCCTGACCACGCCCTACAGGACCCGAGACGGGCAGGTGGGCCTGACCCCTGGCCAAACCCCTGGAAGAACACCAGGTGCCACACCCACACCTGGAGCCACGCCCATCAGAGACAAGCTTGCAATTAATCCTGACGAATCTGTTGAAGGGTTTGATGGCGGGAATCTGTCCAGAAGGTAAAAAATGCATTTAAGAATTTTTTAATAAGCTATTTTTTTCTTTTAATCTTCATACCTTTGCAAACTGATGTCGCATATCTTTTATATTTTAGAAGAAAATACATAACTTCGATTTGAAGGAACTAATTACTTTCTTCACACTCAAATTTTATTATCTTTTTATCGTTGCAACCACACCATCAGGCAGCAAAGATTTAGGGATTTTAAAATTAAAGTTTGAGTCAAGTGAAGAAGTGTTCACGTATATATTTTAACAGGCATGATCCCCCCACTTATTTTACTTCTTACCCAAAATTTATTCATTTCCCCTTAAAACCCCAATTTACTTGGTGATAACAATTTTATATTTAAAGGGGGGGGGGTGTTGGTTGGTTTTAAGTAAAAAATATATATTGAAACAGTTATTTTTTAATTAGAGAGAACACTGCTGAGCTGAAGATGGGATTGAGCTCCCTCCCAACTCCGAAGAACGACTACGAGATTGTGGTGCCTGAGGATGGTGATGATGCTGTTGAGATGCAGGTTCATTTTCTTTCTTTTTTATCTCAAAATCTTTAAAAATCCATTTTTAACGGACTTTAAGCGTAATTTCAAGTGACCTCCATGTAAAGAGGGGAATGTCCGATTTACAACGGTACATTTAAAACCTTTGTATGTTCGTCGAGTACAGGAATGAGTGTGTAAACGTATCTGAATCCGCATGTATGATCATCTGCACATTCCAATGTGCGATGCGTTGAGGTCAGACTGTACGTACTGCACACCGGAGTTTTCAGCTGATTTAGATACGTTTTTGTGGGCCCAGAGAGGTCTTCCTGACAAGTATAATGCATTTGGTTTGGTGTTACTTTACATACTAAAAATATATCAAAATTTGTTAAAATTTATCTCATGGCTTTGATGTATAATTTAATCTCTGGTAGTGTTGCGAAATAAAAAAATTCTATTTAGGACGATGACAACACGTATATAGAAGATCAGAGTGATGTTGACAAGCGCGCAGCAGAGATTGCACGGCTAGCAAGGGAGGCTGCGCTAGCTAAGCGCAGCAGTGCTGTTAAGCGAAACATGCCGCGTCCACTTGAGATGAATCACGCGGTCCTGCGCCCGTTAAACAGCGATCCACCTCTAACAGATCTACAGGTTAGCGGGATAGACAATTTTTTCAAATTTAAATTTCTAATTGTTCTGGATTTAAAATGGAAACATGAACCATCAATAAAATAAGTGAAGTAAGTGCAGAGGATGAATATTCTATTTAAATATATATATATATATATAATATGTTAGCTATAGCTGGCCAAACGGCTGGTCCAAATGGGCTGACATTTATTGAGGGAATTCATTGGTAATCTCTAGGTAACATATGAAAACAAAATCGAGGTTTTCCTCTTCAAAATTTGATTTATTTTTCTTTTAAATTCAATTTTTTTAAATTCCACGTGCGATGCCGCGCACTTAAACTAGTTGTCTAATATAACAGCAGAAATAAATACTCCCTTGACATTTGAACTTTATACATTTTTGGGTAATTTATTAAATTTCATTTTTTTTTCTCCCCTTCAAAATATATAAAAATCGATTCGTCGAAGTTAGAAATATATTATTATTCAAATATGCTTAAACAACTCATAGCATTGTAAATATTAATGTACCACCGACAATGAAAATAAAAAACAATAAAAAAATCTGAAAAATGCACAAGTTTATAAAACGACTGAATAACAATAAACATACATGAATAAAGTTTGTTCGTCCTGTTTTTATACTTATTAGTTATTACCCAAACATTCATAAAATTTTCCTCAACATCGTTTATTTTCCTCAACATTGTTTATTTTTCCTAATTCAGCAAATAAAACCCCAAAAAATGTTGTGCACCTTGCCAAAATACCAAACAGTTGGCTAAAAATAATGATTTTCAAAGGGGGGGAGGAGGGGTGTAATAATCTTTCAGAAAATGTATATTTTAGATAAAAGTTTGAAATAGTTGTGTTGGACGCATATCGATATCTAATATCTATATATATATATAACAAGTTGTAATTTCTGTTTGTCTGTCTGTGTATTTGTCCGATTATTACCCCTGGACCGATTTGCCACAAAGCTTTATTGGGAACTTTGGAAATCCACGGAAATGTTCTTAGCTTGGTTTTGATATTCTAAGTTTAAAGCAATGAGTGGGTCCACTTTAACGGGAAACTAGCGAAAATCGAAATTTACGACAAGGGGCGGGTAAACGGTGGGACTAACTATGACTCCATTCTGGGTTCCCAAGCTAGTATTTTATATATTTAGAGAGCGGAGGAGATGATCAAGAGGGAGATGTTGGTAATGATGCACTACGATGCCCTGGAGACACCAGCTCTAAACCAACAGGGGAATGCAGGTAAGTCAGGGGAAGATTTTTCAAGACCGTGATTTGGCCCAAATCTGACATGCAGTGTCAGGACTGGAACATCAGGACGGTTTGTGACTTCCGTCCTCTCCTCCGGATAAGAGGTGTTTCGGTCTACCGTAACATCCAGAGATGATTTCAAGGATGCTCGGGGGGAGGAAAACTTAAGCTGCCATCTTTTCCAGAAGAAATTCTGAGTTGAAGCATTTTTCAAAATGTCTTCTTTATATAAAGAAAATGTCAGTTGATTCCCCCATACCCCCCATATTTGTCTCTGGAATTTCCCTGATATTGTCTCTCCCCAATTTTAGGACTGTAAACGTCTAAGAAGTTGTTTTAAGGGACACTTGTTTAAAAACGACCAAAAGGGCTGGCAGACTTTATTTCATGTGACCCTCCATTATAAACATGGTACGTCTGATTCACAATGATGCCATTAAAAGCTTTGTTTGACCAAGAATGAATGAGATATCCTTATTTTCTCATTGAAAATGAACGATTTCTATTTTGATTTCTTAAATTGACTTTCGTATTAAAGCTACATAAACACTGAGGAATTTATCAGAATTTAACACATTTCAAGATATTTTCCACATTATTGAGGAGATAATAGTCTTAGAGAAATCGTTGTGAATCGAGCATGGACTTGAAACTCTCTTTCCTACATCATCATGTACCGTACTTCAGGAAAGAAAGGTGAACGCGGCATTGTCGGTGAGGCTGTACATAGAGGATATCTGGACCGGCATCCATACAGAGAATACGAACAGGAGGACCTACAACAAGCAAAGTAAATTATTTTATTTTTAAATAGAAGTTTTATCTTAACTAGTCCAACAGACATTTTATTTTTCATCTTTTAATTTTTATATTCTATAAAAAAATAATAAAATTTTTTCTCTGATTTTCAAAATTTAACGAAAATATAAAATTTGTGAAGACAACTTTTTGTAATTCTTAGCATCCAAAAAAACCTTCCTGGGGTCATGTTTTTTTTGGAAACAAACAAAAAAACAGACAGACAAGCAAAGTACTATATATAATATAGATAATATAGATTAATTTTTGTCGTATAGAAGGAATTCAAGAAAATCTCTAAAAGGGTCTCTGCAATCTGAAATCAAATGCTTAAGTTAAATATTCGAAATATTTTATTGAAGAAAATATTTTAAAAGTTGATGATGGGAAGGATTTTATTGGTTTCGTTATCTTCTCTATATTAGGGTACTACTGGAGCGTGAAATGGAGATTGTTAAGACAGGAATGCAACATGGAGATCTATCTCTGGATGCATACACACAGGTGGGAATACTTCCTCCATCATTATCCACGAAAATTGACAAAATGGAACAAAATTATGCATGCTTTTACAAAAAAAAGTGAAATTAAAATGGTTAACTGACTAACTGATTGATTAATTGATTGATTGATTAACTGATTGATTGATTGATTGCTTGATTGATTGCTTGATTGATTGGTGTTTAGGTGTGGGAGGAGTGCTTGGCCCAAGTTCTTTATCTACCCTCTCAGCAACGATACACCAGGGCAAACCTGGCGAGCAAGAAGGACAGAATTGAGTCTCTGGTATGTCGTCTTTGTATTATCATTCTTGTTGCTTGCTTTCCATTTATTTTCTGGAAAACGAACTTTTTTAGATTTTCAGTTTTGTCATTGGAACGGAGGGTTAATTTAAAGTTGGAGAAACATGTACAACTTATCTTAATGGTCTAAAGGAATCCTTTGGTTTGAATTGTAATTGTAAATTGATGTTGTTTCAGGAGAAAAGGTTGGATACGAATAGAACTCACATGACCAAGGAGGCAAAGCGAGCAGCAAAGGTCAGTACGAAGACGGACATTTTGTCAGACGAATCTTTGAAACTTCAAAACTTGCAGAGAATTTAGGAAAAATAAATAACAATAGTGGATTGGGTTGTAGGTTCATCGATGAAGAATTAATCTATATAATAAAGCTATTCGCTCATATATTTGTATATTTGTATAAATATAGTATATATGTTAGCTTTAGCTGGCCAAATTTTTTGAGGAAACCCTTGGCTAAAAAAAATTGATGTTTTTTTTTCAAGGATCGATTTTTTTAATTCCACCTGTCCACTTTAGCCAGTTGATTAATATAGAAAATGATTTGTTGATATGGAAATTGATTGATTTATGCTAACATTTATTGAACTAATATTGAAGAAATTTATTTATGAATTTGTTGATTGATTGATTGACTGACTGATAAAATTGGTTGATGAAAAAAAATTTATTTATATAGAAAATGAATAGTTGACGGAGAAATTGATTAATCGATCTTAATTTTTTTGATCTGATTTATTTATTTAAGAATTTGTTGATAGATTGATTGGTGATTGATTTTAATTATTTTGAACTGATTTATTTATTTATGAATTTGTTGATTGATTGATTGGTTTATTGACTGATTAATTTAGGTTGAGAAAAAGTTGAAAATTCTGACCGGAGGCTATCAAAGCAGAGCTGCAGGTCTCATCAAACAACTGACAGGTATTTTACAATCAACGTTTTTCAGACAAATGCAGTTTATGAAAGGTTTAGTAAAAACAATTTTTTATTTGGGGGATTTTTTATGAAATGTGCTTCTGGATAAGGGCATCCTTCCGTGACTATCTAACTATCTTAACCTTACCTGGACTAGATTAATAATGTGCTATTATGGAAAGTAGTTCTTTTTCAAAAGAATGGGGGTGGGGGATGGGGTCCTTAAGAACTAGAGGAGAGGATAGAGCTAAGATTTGTCAGTATATATAATAAAGCTCATATATATATTTGTATGTATATATAGCTATAGCTGGCCAAACGGCTCGACCAAATTGGTTGACTTTAAAAATCTTTATTTTTATATTTAAACGCGCAACGCCGGGCACTTAAGCTAGTAGTTTATATTCCTACAAAATTTGTATTTTTAAAATTTATATAATTGTACGCTAGATGCCGCGGACCAGCTTGAGCAGAGTAGGCTTGAACTCTCCACCTTTAAACAACTTAAAATTTCTGAAACTGTTGCTATCCCCAGACGATTGGAGACAATCACAGAGGTTCGTCAATTACTGAATTCTTCTTTCAATATAAACTCCATTGATTTGATCATGTTCAATTATTCATTATAATTTCTCAAGCCGGGTTTTCAAGGAATGAAGGTTGATTGCAATTATTATAATTATCACTTTTGCTTTTCTAAATTAACACCGTAATACTCATTTTCTCTAACAATCATTTCTTTTCCCCCACTATTGAAAAATCGCTAAATTGAAGAAAATCAATGATTTTTTTGGGGGAAACAGATTAAAAAAAATGAAAAAAAACTAAATTATTAATATTATAATGATTATCAGGATGTGAACCTGCAGAGGACTCGTGAGAGAGAACTGCAGAGTAAATATAGAGATATGGTATTCAAGCTGGAAGAGGCAAAACAGGGCAGGTCAGAGATAGGGTATTTTAGGGGGTCAAAGGGGGGGGGGGTTTACTTTTTTTTGTAGAAATCTTTCTGTTAAAATGCATATATCTTGTGTTTCATTCTGAGAATGGACAATTTAAATGTATTCTGAAATCTTTAAATTTACAAACATTGCATCAATTGCATTCATTTATAATAATTTCAATTTATAATTATTTTTTCCGTTCATATTTTTATCCTTGAATCTGCAATATTGCGGACACCTTAGAGGTCATAGTGTCATAACTGCAATATTGCGGACACCTTAGAGGTCATAGTGTCATAAAAGTTTATGGTGTAAATTCAATAAATTGCTGCCCCCCCTCCCCGCTGTGTAGTTCTTACCATTAGGGTCGGATACTACCTGTAGGTGGTCTGGGTTTCCCAAGCTAGATGAAACATGAAAACTTTGATTTTTTATACATTTTTTTTTATCTTGGCAACCTGATGTCGTAGATCTTTTGTATTTAATGTTATGAATTTTACTAGCTCAATTAGTCATACTTAGAAATATCTAATGTTTCTGAGAAAACAGAGATTAGAAAATTTGTGTTCAGCTTTTTTACGGGAAACTAAATTACAAGCAAATCAAATTCTTATCATGAATTACGATATAAGTAGGCAAAGGTTAGGATTTAGGGAGACAACGGGAAGCTCACTACAAAGTTGTATCTTTTAAAATATTTAAATGCTAATGTTTAAGAACGGAATTAAGAAAAAATCAAAAAACATTTTTTTAATAGAAGATTTTGTCCAGGCTAGTTACCGAGACTCCCCAAGAAAGGCTAATGGAAGTGGAAGCATGATCCTTATCAAGACCTTATAAATCCATCAAGAACAATATTTCATTATTTAAATAATGTTTTTTATGTTTAAACTTAAACAATTTTCATGCAATTAATATTCACTTAAGTAGTTTTGTATTGGTTTTCCTTGCATTTTCATTGTTCATTTTCCTCCACATTTTTTTTTACATTATGCGTATGAAACGTTCAATTTGGATTGAAACTCATAGATTATACTTGAAGTTCAAAAGATGTACTCTTAACTCTTAAAGCGACTGTTGACGTAATTTCATTTGACCCCAAAGTCAAGATTTTCATGCTCTATGTGCAGCGGTATTCTTTGCACGATATAGCTGAATAATAAATCGACATGTTTTTATTTCAAACTGTTTTTGATTCTGTTAATTTCAATTACTAAAATCCGCAAATCACGAACGCCTTTAAATCTACCAATTTTTAAATATAAAAAAATAAGTTACTTGAAATTTCGTCTACAGTTGCTTTAACCCGTAGAAGCTGGACATTGCTGGTTGCATTGCTCTAATATGCCTTTGTCCGGTTTGAGGGACAATGGAAAAAGTTTCATGAACACTTACTTCCACCACAATTTCTCATCTCTGTAATCTGTGGATTGAAAAATCAGTTCTTGCATTGGGTTCTTTGTGAGTTCTAATATGAAGCAAGGCATAAAAGAAAATTGTTTTCAGATAAATATAAAATGAACCAGGTTCTGCAGGAGTATAACAGGTAAAAAAAATATTATTTTTCGTAACTTTTAAAAAAAATCTGGAAGAAACAAAATAGTGAATAATTAAGTAATATGTTTTTTTTTCAACGTAGGAGAGGAATCAAATATAATTAAATTGAACGTTTTTAATATTGCTGAAATCGTTATTAAATAATGTACGATTGCTTGCTGAAATTTTGACAAATGACGGGATCATTCAAACTTGGTCCGAAGGTTTGATAAATGAGAAATTTTATTTTTTCCGAATAAAGGAAAACTCATGGAATAAATAAAATATTTTTTTAACGATAGATAGGACTAAATACATCAACATGATTATATTAAAACCACTTTTAACTATTGTCTATCATTGCTGACATGAAATGAATAAATTCCACCGATTCCTTCTTCAGAAATCTATATATTATTGTTGAAAGCAAAATTTTCACAAAGACGGATTTTTAAAATTTAAATAAACTTGGTTCGAAGGCTTGGCAAACAAGAATTTTTTAAATAGAACGAAAACATTTTTCGTATACTTAAAAGTTACCTTAGAAAATTTTCTTTATTTTTTTATATTCCTAAACACAAGCTGTAAGACCATAGCTCATTCTTGATGTAGTAATTTTCTATGAGTTTTATATATGGGTAGTAGGCCATCCTTAAACTCTGATTGATTGATTGATTGATTGATTGATTGATTGATTGATTGATTGATTGATTGATTGATTGATATAACAGGGAGAAGAAGGAAAGAGAGCGAATACATAAAGAGGAGAAGAAAATAATGTTATTACAACAAAAGATGGAGAATCTTGAGAGTCGGGAGAAGGCTTTCTTAAAGACTATCAACACAGGTGGGGTAAACATTAAGAACTTGACATCAGACAGCAATTTTTATTCTCTGATATTTTTTACCCAAAATTTTTTCATCTTTTCAAATTCAGGGAATAGAACTCTTGAATAAATATAAATAACTTCAAATGATTTTTAAGAGGGGTGAGGGATATTTGTTTCGAGAAAAAACACCCCCCCTGCTGTGTTGTGTGGAATAGGAAACGGTCTTAAATAGTCCGATGCACATGGAACACAGCAGTTGTGCCCTTTGCAGCATGCATAGTCCCATACCTACCTTCTTCCTATTCCATAGCTTTATGGCTCCCACTTTGTAATTATTTAAAATTATATATTTGACTTGTTTAAAGTATCTAATAGACGTTAAAGTAGCCCAGCTGGTAGGGGCTACATTTTTTGCATGACCTCATGTGATCCGAGAGAAGGTCAAATTAAAAGGTTTTGTCCCCAAATAATTCGATTACAGTTTTTTTTTGGAAAATTCTCTAAAGGAAATAAATAATCTGTCCAATCGTAATTTTGATTTTATGAAGTATGAGATTTAAACACTATAAAACAGTATACCCAACTCACCCCAAAAATAAATAATCTGTCCAATCGTAATTTTGATTTTATGAAGTATGAGATTTAAACACTATAAAACAGTTTACCCAACTCACCCCAAAAATGCCACGTAGCATCATTTAGTCAACTGAAATCTGGCACAGAATTATTTTAGTACATATGATTTGTCACAAATAATATCTCAGTTCGTGTTATCAGGCACAAAGTGAAGTTTTACACCTGCCACAAATCTCTAGATACATTAAAAACTGAAAACTAGGGTTGAAATTTTACCTACTGTAACATTCAGGGGAGTACTCTGGAACCACTGATTCCAGCATGGATGTGGCTGAACTAACGGTCTATAATATAGAAAACCTTTTCCAGATTTGTAAATCTAAACAGGTAGGATACCAGTATAATTGGGCGCTGGGACATTTCATCGCAAGCATCATATAGAGTCATTTCATAGACAGGACATTTCATAGCACGCATCATATAGACAGGTCATTTCATAGGTAGGACATTTCATAGCAAGCATCATATAGACAGGTCATTTCATAGGTAGGACATTTCATAGCAAGCATCATATAGACAGGTCATTTTATAGATAGGACATTTCATAGCAAGCATCATATAGACAGGACATTTCATAGACAGAGAATATTTTTCATGGATAAGGTAAATTTGTTTTACCCAAGTAATCTTATCCAATAAATCATATCTTGTTTTTTTATATGATCTCCCTGATTTTTTACTTCTTTTATTATTCATAATGTTGCTTTAAAATGATAACATATTATAGTGTTGATAATGATATCTTGTTAGTTGAGCCTCACACATATTTATGTTGTTATAAAAAAATATGCTTATCTATAACTTATCACATTTTCTAACATTCTGACACAATTTGTCTACGAAAAATCTGATTTGTCTAAGAAATGTCCTATCTACATAGTTCTTTTTCGATGAAATGTCCATTTATGAAATGTATTTCTATGAAATGTCCCAACACCTATTAATGGAAGGACTGTTCACAAAATATTGTTACTATCCATTTATAGAGCTGCACACCGAATACACATCAGTGCCCATGAAACCTTTGTCTGGGGTTAAATTATGGAGAAATTTTGGATTGCAGGTTTTGTTACCAAATAATCAGGAGAGGAACTGTCAAAATTGACTTTTCATGATGTATTAAACCGAAATCTTTCTCCATGTGCTCAAATAAAGGTTTCAAAGGCATCGTCGCAAATCAATCTAATAAATCTTCAAATGGGTGTTACATAAATTTGTTCTGACAGTCTATTAAAACTAAATTTATGGGTCATCGCATCTTTAATTTCTCTTTTTATGCAGATTAAAACAATTCTTTACTTCAAGTAGCGTACTCCTAAGTGATCCACCATGCAAAGATGACAATGCCCGCTTCACAATGGTACTTCTTAAAGCTTTGTCTGATCATTTATGAATTAGCTATAAATGTTTAGGATTTTGAAAACTGATCATTTTCAATTGGTTGTTCTTTACAAACGTGACTTACCTATTTATACACTGCAGGAAAACATACAGGATTTATCATAGTTGATCAATTTGATACCTAGAACAACAACAATATCTTTCACATTATTGATCAGATAAAGGTTTTAAGGGTACCGTTGTGTATCGCATGAAGGGTCACTTGGAATTACAGTTACAGTACCTTTAAAGTTTAATATTGTAGAAGCTTGAATCCTTGGCTCTGATGTACGGTATAACAGCCTGGAAACATGAGAATGGTCAGATACACTTCACTTTCGACCCTTATATCAGGTAGAGCCAGATAGATTCAGGAGTAATAGATAACATCTAGGTAGATCCGTATAAATAATAGATAAAATCCAGATATATTTAGGAGAAATAGATCAAATCCAGTTAAAAATCCCAGTCAAAATTTCCAGTTAAAAATCCCAGTTAAAATTCCAGTTAAAAATCCCAGTTAAAAATCCCAGTTAAAAATCCCAGTTAAAAACCCCAGTTAAAAATGACAGTTAAAAATCCCCGTTTAAAATCCCTGTTAAAAACCCCAGTTAAAAACCACAGTTAAAAATCACAGTTAAAAATCACAGTTAAAATCAAAGTTAAAAATCACAGTTAAAAATCACAGTTAAAAATCACAGTTTAAAATCACAGTTAAAAATCCCCGTTAAAAATCTCTGTTAAAAACCCCAGTTAAAAACCACAGTCAAAAATCACAGTTAAAAATCACAGTTAAAATCACAGTTAAAAATCACAGTTAAAAATCACAGTTAAAAAACCCAGTTAAAAATCCCAGTTAAAAATCCCAGTTAATAATCCCAGTTAATAATCCCTATTTAAAAATCCCAGTTAAAACCCTAGTTAGAAATCCTAGTTAAAAATCCCAGTTAATAATCCCAGTTAATAATCCCTATTTAAAAATCCCAGTTAAAACCCTAGTTAGAAATCCTAGTCAAAAATCCCAGTTAAAAATCCCAGTTAGAAATCCCAGTTAAAAATCCCAGTTAGAAATCCCAGTTAGAAATCCTAGTTAAAATCCCAGTTAAAAATCCTAGATAAAAACCCCAGTTTAAAATCAAGGTAAATCTTCAGGTAAAATGGACAGATTTAATTTACAGATTTATTATGGTCAATTTGTTCAGTGTGGTTACTAGAGAAGTATGTTGAATAAATATCTACATTACTGATGACTAGCATATTATTTTAGAGGACAACATAAGGGAGCATATATTATCAGGATGATGCCAAATCAAGGAAAGATGAATCTTTTAGGTGAAAAATATTTATTTTGTTTCTTCTTGAAGAATAATTACTAAGTGATCATTCCTTTTTTTCAGGGCACTCCCTCCCACATGCTGTACCTGTACATAAACTGTACGCTAAATACACAGAAGACGCGAGTAAGGTAATGTTTGTTCTGTTTGTGAAGAAATATGTTTAAAACTTCATTATTATTTTAGGATTCGTCCAAGACTCTTGCAACATTCTTGGACACTTCGTTCAGGTCAGTTTTATTGATTGTATTTGATAGTTAATTATATTTGACATTATATCATTAAATTTCAAATAGGTGGTCACAGGGGATAAAATCAGAAAAATCGAACATCTACTCTAATTGATCAACCCTTTCAAAGAGCTTTGTAATATATAGAGTAGGCATTGGGATTTATACTCAAATAGGTGGTCACAGGGGATAAAATCAGAAAAATCGAACATCTACGCAAAACCAGACGCCTTAATTGGGTTGATTAAGAAACCATAGAATGTCGTCTTTTCTATTATTTAAAAGGATTTTAGGACTTTTTAAGCATATCGCTCACCAAAAACTTGCTTTTTTACGTACATAATTTACCGTTAGAAATGCATAACTTTATCATCTTTGTAGATAAACTTTATATTCAAACAGATTACAATGATTGGTTTGCAATTTTTTGGCCACTTTAAACAAGGTTTTTTTGTGCCTTGCTCACTATTCTGGCATAAAATTCTGCTTTAGACTAAAAGAAAACTATACTTAATGATATCTAACTAATTTTGTTTTAAAATACCTGGTATTTAATTTTCATACAAATAAGACGCGTAACAAATTCACAATATTAGTTTTTTTTCTATAGCAGGAGAGTATTCTATCCTGTAAACTATTAAACAAATTTTGATGTTAATGACAGTGTCTTAATTTCTGACCATTTTTAGCACCTTCAAAGGATTAATTTATTTGTTTTAAAATACGTAATATTTTTCATACAAATGAGATGCGTAACAAAATCACAATTTTAGCATTTTTTACTATAGCAGGAGAGAGTCTATCCTGTAATCTATTAAACAAATTTTGAAGTTTATGACTGCAGTGTCTTTCCGACCATTTTTAGCACCTTCAAAGGATTAATTTATTTGATTACTAAAGTTTTAATGTTGATTGTTTGAATTCAAAACCAATTCTGCAGCCAATGTTAGAGGATGGAGATCTCAAGGTAAGCTACCAACCATTATACTACTATACAGATAGTTGTATCTATTAATCGAGAGATATAGAGGATTGAGATCTCAAGGTAAGCTACCAACCATTATACCACTATACAGATAGTTGTATCAATTAACCAAAGTGATGTAGAGGATGGAGATATCAAGGTAAGCTACCAGCCATTTTACTAATATACACATAGTTGTATCTATTAATCAGAGAGATATAGAGGATGGAGATCTCAAGGTAAGCTACCAACCACCAACCATTATACTACTAGACAGATGGTTGTATCAATCAACCAAAGTGATGTAGAGGATGGAGATCTCAAGGTAAGCTACCAACCATTATACTACTTTACAGATAGTTGTATCAATCAACCAAAGTGATGTAGAGGATGGAAATTTCAAGGTAAGCTACCAACCATTAAACTAATATACAGACTTTTGTATCTATTAATCAGAGAGATATAGAGGATGGAGATCTCAAGGTAAGCTACCAACCATTATACTACTAGAAAAATAGTTGTATCTATTAATCAGAGTGATTTAGATGATGGAGATCTCAAGGTAAGCTACCAACCATTATACTGCTATACAGATAGTTGTATCTATTATCAGAGTGATGTAGAGGATGGAGATCTCAAGGTAAGCTAACAACTACACTATAAGATTATCAAAATGGTTGCTCAGACCATCCTCAAAGTCTAGTCTTGATTTTGTTTTACAAAAACCCTTATTTTGTGCAGGTCACCTTGTCGCTCAACTATGAGAAGGACGGGGAAAGACCTATCCCTGGAAGCGTAAAGGTAAAGTTAAGATATTTTATAGAAAAGTACTTGTTGGTTTCCTCTACAGGAGTTAGAGCGATAACTTAAAAAAATTTTCTGTTCCAGATAAGAAATATCAAGCGCGCACGCATTCAAATGTTTACTGTTGTGAATTGGTTATGGCAGTCACTTTAAATAAAATTGACATTTTCTTCTAGTTCTAAAACTTTGGTCTTTATTCTTACAGCTGTTTCAAGAATCCATTTTTTAAAGATTTCGCACAATTCTTTAAACTTGTGATTTCAGCGCTCAGATGGCTCATTTCCCGTTTACTGCTTAACCTAGGACGTTGGCTACCCCAATGGTGCCGAGGGATGCCAACCTACCCAGTTTTAATGCGTTAAATCTCTCAATTTAAAAGATTGTGCGTAGGATGCTAAGCGCTATTCCATCCAAAAAGTTTTACCTCTGAATATTGATATTATTTAAGGTTGAGACGAATGTTGAAGTTGACACAAAGGAACTAATAGATCAGTGTACTCCATTCTACACTAGCAGGCTCAAGCTAGCCTTAGCAGAAGCATTTTAATATCTATCAAGACTTCATCACAAAATGATATTGAAGCAACACATATTGTTAAGATGCAAATATTTGATTTTTCGTCTCCGGAAATTTCACTTTTAGAGGGTTGAAATGTGTGCAGTATAAGAACACTTTTTTGCTATCTTGAAGCCCTTGAAGTGACTAGTAAAATTTTTGTAAATATCAACAATGTTAATTTTATTTTCAACAACGATTTGTAAAAATCCAATTTATTGAAATTTTTATCAAAAATTTCGCTCTTTCGAGTTTCTAAATGCAAAAAGCCTTGAGTAAAGTTATGAAATTATAGAAAAGCGCCAAATACGCTTGAATATATTAACAGTGTACCTGTCAAGAAGAAAAATAAATAAATAGATTTTATCGGTTTTCAGAGTAAATGGCATTTAGTGGTGGTTCAACTTTTGGGGGATTCGGAGCCCCCGCTGCTCAGCCCAGTACCTTTGGTGGGTTCGGTGCAGCAACTTCTCAGCCAAGCACTGGCTTCAGTGGTTTTGGTGCTGCAACTTCTCAGCCTAGCACTGGATTTGGTGGATTTGGGGCCGCCACTTCTCAGCCCAGCACTGGTTTTGGCGGGTTTGGGACCGCCACTTCCCAGCCCAGCACCGGGTTCGGGGGATTTGGGGCTGCAACTTCTCAACCAAGCACCGGCTTTGGTGGGTTTGGGGCGGCAACCACTTCTCAGCCCAGTACTGTCTTCAGCGGCTTTGGCGCGGCGGCCACTTCTCAGCCTAGTACTGGATTTGGTGGATTTGGAGCTGCCACTTCACAACCAAGCACTGGGTTTGGAGGATTTGGGGCAGCGGCAACTCAAGCTAGTACCGGGTTTGGCGGATTTGGCTCAACTACTTCTCAGCCAAGCACATTTGGAGGATTTGGAACAACTACCAGTCAACCCAGCACTGGGTTTGGAGGATTTGGAACAACTACCAGTCAACCCAGCTCTGGGTTTGGAGGATTTGGAAGTTTTGGTTCCAGCACAGCTGCCAAACCAACAGGATTTGGTACAACGGGTGGAATGTTTGGTGGAGCAGGAACTGGACTTAGTTTCGGGCAACCTCAACAACAGCAACAACAACCACAGCAGACCCAGGTTAACAACGCAATATTTTTTTTAAGGACCAACTTAATTTTTATATCAATGATCTTTTGAATTTATTGAAAATGAAAATTTGATTAATGATTCATTGTTTGTGCTTTTTGTATTAGGGNAAAAAAAAACAACATTTTTGCGTTTCCCGTCAAACAAGTTTTAGAGAGATAAATGTCACAGAAAAACTTTAAAAAATGTATTTAGGTTAATTTGTAGATAATTTCAGGCTTCATGGGGATTTGGAAAAGCATACTATTCAAACTCAGCCCAGCCGATTCAAATCAAACCTGAGAACCCCTTCTGTAGGTTTAAATCCATAGGTAAGTTTTTAGAATTTTTATTTTCCATTAAGGTTATTTTCCTAATGACGCTGGATACTAAGTTATTCTCGGGTGATCTTAGGAGTGCAGCAGCCTCATATAATTATATTAATTCGTGCCCTAATCTTTTTTGCAGAGTTATTGAATTTTTTTCTCAACTTCTTTAAAAATTGTTTATACTATATCTTGAGTTCTTCAATTTAGCCTTAAATGATCTGAATGTTTCACTTTTCTGTAAAAAAGTTGAAACTTTTGTAGGATACAGTGCTTTGCTACAGCAATATGACAAGAAAGGATTAGTTGGATTAATGTAAATATTGTAGGATACAGTGCTAAGATGACAAGGAAGGATGGATTGATATAAATATTGTAGGATACAGTGCTACAGTGTTAAGATGACAAGGAAGGATGGATTAATTTAAATATTGTAGAATACAAAGCTATGCCCGAGCAAGATAACAAAGAAGGATGGATTAATATAAATATTGTAGCATACAGTGCTACAGTGCTAAGATGACAAGGAAGAATTGATTAATATAAATATTGTAGGATACAGTGCTACGGTGCTAAGATGACAAGGAAGGATGGATTAATATAAATATTGTAGGATACAGTGCTATGCCCCAGCAAGATGACGAGGAAGGATGGATTGATATAAATATTGTAGGATACAGTGCTATGCCCCAGCAAGATGACAAGGAAGGATGGATTAATGTGAATATTGTAGGATACAGTGCTACAGTGCTAAGATGACAAGGAAGGATGGATTAATGTAAATATTGTAGGATACAGTGCTATGCCCCAGCAAGATGACAAGGAAGGATTGGTGGGATTGATGTTTAAAAAGAAACAAGCTGAACTTGAAGCAGGTAAAAGATGAATTATGAATCCAAAACATTTGTTTAAAATATCATTTACCTGTTCGATTACAATTTAATGAAAAAAAATATGAACACGTATAAAAAAAACTTAGCAGTTAAAATTCAATTTTCATGTAAGAAATAATTGAAAATTTATGGAATATATTATAAGTGAGGTTTTATTTTAATTCATATTTTAGGAAAACCCCAGATAACCGCTTCTCTTACCCAAACTCTTGGAAATCGACAAAATATGAAAATTAATATTGAAAATATAAAATCTTCCGGTAAGTTATAGATACTAGTTTTTTGTGATGGCTTTACATTAAGGGAGTTCGATTTTGAAAATTAAACTTTTTTCACCCAGAAAAGCACACAAATTGGAATGAATTAAAACGTATTTAAGAAAAGGCTGAATGAATAAATAATTGATTGATTGATATATTGATGGTTGGTTGATTGATTGATTGATTGATATATTGATATATATATATTGATTGATTGATTGATTAAATGTTATATTTAGAGTCTGAGTTGAGTGAGGTTGTTGTGAGTGTGGATGAGAGTTTACAGACTGGAGGGGTCAGACGGATCCCGGCTTCGGAGCTCAGTGCATTCTTAAACCAAACCATGCAGGTTAGAAATTAACTGACAACTTGCCTCCAAATCCAATTTCCTAATTTACAGGAGTGTATATTTTTCAGAATTACTTCCCCCCCTGGGGGGAGAGGGAAATTATGTTAGATGATTTGGGGAGATACTTTTTGATACTGTTATAAATTTAATGTGAAAGTAGAGTCATGATTGTGAAATAGCAAGACGTCCCTAAATCTCTGATTTGATTTGATTCGACATTTCTTAGAATGTTTCGTCAAGATGTTTTTTATTTGTTTTTTAACAAGTCCCTTCATAAGCGTGTGGGGCGGGGCGTCTTAAAATCTCCCATTTGATTTGATGTAAAAGTTTTAAATCTTGAGAAGAATTTTTCGTCGAGATTTAATAGAGATTTTTTATTAAGTTTAGAATAGTGAGTAGATACAAGGTCGTCCCTTAAACTCTGCTTTGAGTAGATTCAATAGTTAGTAGGGTGTCTTAAAACTCTTATGTAACAATTTTAAAACTTGCAAAGAATTTTGCATCGAGTTCTATTAAAATAGTGACTTAAAAGTTGTGAGACGAAAAATGATCGTCTTTTAAACTCTGTTTTGACTATATTCAACATTTTTCAGCCGGACGCAGAATTTGGTGTCAAAATTTATTAAGTACATTTTTAAAGGCTTCTTGTTTAGGTTCAGTCCTTAAAAAATCTAGGAGTGGAGATGGTTATACCTCAGGTTAAGATTACAGAAGAAGATCTTAAGGTACTCATCAACTATTTTTAGGTTTAAATTTCCGCTGTCATTTGTTTTGATGTTACAGATCAATTTTAGTTTGCTATATCTTCTTGAATGGAAACTGGCATTTTGGCGGGAATAAATCTTTTTAGTTTCAGTCTTTCAATGTAAGTATGTTGATTTTTTGTACTTGAACTATTCAGGAGTACCTGGCCAGCCCCCCTGCAGGAGTTGACCCCCGGCTGTGGAAGCAGGCGCAGCTAGATAATCCAGATTCTAAATCCTTCATTCCCGTTCCGATCATTGGTACGCGCATTTCTAAAACTGGAACATGGACAATTTGCTTCCGACTTTTTCACACTTATTCCTTAAAATTCATTTAATCTCTCCTTAAAACTTTTTTTTTTAATAAATAACTAGTCTTAAAAAAATGAACTAGAAAGTTTTATTTAATATGTATCGGATTGATAAATAATATTTTTGGTTACATTTTGATATTTTCTTTGGGACGTTTGGTCCACCACTTGGTAATATCTATAATACAAGCTTGGGAACCCAGAGCTGCCAAGGTTACTAAAAGTTACTTCCGCTGTTTACCCGCACTTGAACGATTTTACCGGGAAACTAAATCCGTGGGTCTCACAAGTTCCCCAATCATAATTTTAGAAAAATCGGTGCAGGGGATCCTGACTTAGACAAACAAACAGACAGACAAACAGAAATTACAACTTTACATATATAGATATATGCTTTTTGGTCAAATTTAAAACTTTACTTGTTAAGGTTTCAAAGCTCTGTATCAAAGGATTAAAATACAAGAAAACCAATCCAAATCTCATCAAGGTATAGTCTTGCCTATTTATTTTGATTTGATATAATGGTTTAAACTTTTACCAAACAAATAACAAGGATTTTTAGTTTTTAACTCTTTCTTATCAAGCTGCTATTCCCTGGGGTCATGTGTGTTGCTGCAACAAAAATTGGGCAAATAACAGACTTTTAATTTTGTTCTCATTAAAGATGTGTGTATTGTCTATGTAGTAGAAAAAATATTTGAGTTACCGAAGAAAATAAATTTTGAATAAATGGTTTTTATTAAAAATATTAAATTAGTATTAATTACTTCCCATCAAGGTCGACTGGATTGTATAGCGGAGAATATATCGGAGTTACAGAAGAAAAATCAGAACACACTCGCAGCGCTCGCGGAGGCTAAAAGAAAACAACTAGAACTTTCCCACAGGTAGTTTTACAGTCAAAATGGTATCTTTGTGCTTTGGATCCTTATTCGTAAACTTATGTCTTCCTGGATCCGGATCCAACTTTAAACAGATGTGAGATTATTTCAAACTAGCGAAAAACGAAATAAAGATTGAAATTTGTATTTGGTAAGGAAAATTAGCAAACTGACAGAAATTTTTATGTGCTGGATTCGGGTCCATTTTTTACTTTACCTAATTGATCTTACTTGACCTTACTTGACCTTACTTGACTTTACTTGACCTTATTTGACTTAATTGACCTTAGTTGACCTTTGTTGACCTGACTTGACCTGACTTGACCTGACTTGACCTGACTTGACCTGACTTGACTCATCCCCAGTATCTAACCTTTCTATGCAACCTTGATTATTGGCGACCTGTGACCATTGCAAGTTTAACACGTATTGTTGCTCTAAAATCTTGTATCAGGGTCCTTTTTTCTGTCAGGAAGCTTAAAGAAACAATTTTTTAGAAATTCAAGGTTCATTTTGTCCCAGAAAACGTTTTTTTTTTATATTTTCGTGGACTCAAAACTCATTATAACGGAATGGAATCAAATACACTTTAGAGATATATTATACTAAATATGTTTTTGTAAATGGTCGGCCTATTTGATCAACTTACTCGTTAGTGCAATGAATGAAAAAAGCCGAGAATGTGAATAATATTTGAGTATTAGATCATTATTAAAGTGTTAAAGTGACTGTTCAGAATGTTTGTCTGCTCCAGGTTCGGTTGCAGTCCCAGTCCTCTGTATTATCTGGAAATGAGAAGTATACCCTGGACCAGTTTGCTGTGTCTGATGTTAAATCTGTACTTAGAGATCAGCAGCAGGCCATCCAGGTAAAAATAAAGATAAAGAATGTACCTCTTATACCCCCCACCCCCAATATGGGAGACCCAGACCGCCCACGCGGTTAAGCCCGGGGATTTAAATGTTAATTTTCTATTTAATTTTCTTTAAAAGTCGTGAAAACTTAAATCAAATGATTTGAAATAGAAATAAATAAGCTTATAGTGTCAGAAAAAGACTTTAATTGAAGTCTTATCTCTGTAATTTTGGTCTGGTGTTCTGTAAGTTTACATTACAAATGCAAGGATTAATTTTCGGATTCGGATCTTAGACACTGCACATTAGGGGGGAGTGAAATTCCAAAAAAAAACAAAAAAACAATTGGCTTGAAATCATTACGGCGGTAGTCAATTCTTATGTAAAAAACAATTCTAAGAAAAAATTTTTTAATGACACTTTGCTTGATGGTCGTCTTTGTTAGCTAACTGGCACTGCAAGTGTTGACCTTTTAAGTTGTTTTTGGGATCTGTGGTTTCACAGTACACAAGCAAAATGCTTCCAATGATAACGGCGATAGTCAATTCCTATGTAAAAAAAATTCTAAGAACAAATTCTTTTTATGACTGTTTTTAATTGGAGATCGTCTTCGTTAGCTAACGGGCACTGCAAGTTTTGACCTATATATATTCTTTGAAATCTACTAATTCGTAATAAGCATGCAATGAGCTTCCAATTGTTACGGCGATAGTTAATAATACTGTTAAAAAAATTCTGAGAGCCATTTCTCTTGAGAGACTTTTAGATTGGAGGTCGTCTTCTTTAGCTAACTGGCACTCCAATTCTTTACCTAGATGTGCTCTTTTCCGAGATTGGTGATTTCGCAATAAGCATGCAATATTTTTCCAATTATTTTGGCGATAGTCAATTCTAACGTTAAAAACCCCCCTACTACGCAATGCACACTGCACAGTGAACAACTTGGTTTGCAGAAAAATATTTACTTTGAAAAAATTCAAAACATTTTTATTTTAGGCGTTGGTCTCAGTAATCAAAGAAGACATGAAAGATCTTAATATAATGGTCGATGGACTGTCAGCATCAGATGGATCTCATCAATAACTTAACAGCTCCTGGTTATATCGTCCCAAAAATAATAAAAAGTTGTGAAGGGTTTTGGATGTTTCATTTCTTTATTGAATGGTATTGTTTTAATTTTACAAAACTGGTAAAATTCCCCCCCAAGAAAACTGACAAGTTTAGACTACAATCTTCTAAAATAGATAAATATTTTTATCATTTGAAATAGTTTATTATTATCAATCGTCCTCTAGCAGGCTCTTTAAACTCGGTCCCTATCAAGGTTATTTATTGGTCCCTATCAAGGTTATTTATTGGTCCCTATCAAGGTTATTTTTTGGTCCCTTTTTGGTCCCTATCAATGTTATTTATTGGTCCCTATCAAGGTTATTTATTGGTCCCTATCAAGGTTATTTATTGGTCCCTACCAAGGTTATTTATTGGTCCCTATCAAGGTTATTTATTGGTCCCTATTAAGGTTATTTATTAAAGTTAGAAACTCTGGATGCGCTCCAATGTACGAGAAATGTCGTCATCATAGCAATGGAGACGCAAAATCTTTAAGACGACGTAACTGCTTAATGGCGGAAGATGAAGTGATAACGTTGATGATGAGAGGGGGGGGGAAGGATATTCTCTGCTTTTTACAGCTCACACGAGCGGAAAAGCGGAAAATCCTTCCCCCCATTTCACCAGCAACGTTATTACTTCATCCTCCACCAATAATCATTAATCAGTTACGTAATATAGGGATTTGAGTGTCCATTACTACGAAGACGACATTTCTATTTCATGGGAGCGCATCCAGACTATGTAACCTTATTGGGCCTTATTCTACAATTCAGCTTTTTAAATTTAGTTTAATTCTTCAATGATAACATTTGATTCAATTCTCCAAAAACAAAAAGAATACTTCAGAAAATAACAGGTTGTCTCCTCTTTATAATCATTAGCTGATCCAATATTTCATTAAAGGGATTGTTTGCCCACACAGTATCCGTCTTATATATCAATACAATGAAGACGACTTTTTACTGTTACTGCTTTGATCCCTTACAAGCATTTTTCGATTTACAAGTTTTCAAGTTAACATAGAAGCCTGTCAGCTTCTCTTTGTTTACTTGTTTATGTTTTCTCCTGTTTGAAAGATTGTGATAAACCAAAATTGAAAAAGAAAGTTGTCTTCATTGTATTGATAAATACGACGACGACGGTATTTCAAAATACACATGATGTCCATTCCTGCGCTCTGTGACACCCTTGCGTTGTAATATAGACTTCGTTGCTGTAATGAATTAAATAATTACGGTATTTTTAGTATTTTATATGGATGAACTATTCTTTAAAGCAGCATGCCACAGGTTTTGATTAACATCCAACAAATTATCAGCAAAAATAATATATAATATATCCTTGAATAATAATATCATTGGTCAAGAAACCTATTTACTTAACAAGTATAGTTAACTATGAAGCATAAAGAATAAAAAGGATTGTAAGAATGTAAGAACCAAGTTTGTATCATAAAAAACTCGAACCTAAAAAATCATTAGTGGAGGGAAAAGGGGTGATCAAGTTGTTCAAAAATATTTCAAAACTTTATATGCCACCATTTGCGTCTTGGTAATCTACAGGCTTTCTTTAATAACAAAACCATTATCTCTTTTTGTTGAAATAATAGTTATGGGAAATTTTTAAAAAAACATTTCCCGTTTTTTTTACAACGATTCCATTATCACTTCTTCCCTCCCAAGTCCCAACATATCCTAGTTTCTGTCTATGAATTTGACCTTGTGATATTTTTTGTTAATTTCTTCTTTTTCAGATAAAAATGCGGATTACACAAGTTCTCCTCCGAAAGAGAAAGATGATTACAAAGGTTGTCCAAAAAATCCCTACTCAATAAAATTAAAAGAAATTTTGTTAAAGAGTAATATTTTTCTATTTTCAGCCCCAATCCTATGTAAGGAATTGGCAATGGAACAATTCCTGGTATCTGCAGCAAGAGAGACCTGTAAAAAACTATAAAATTAAAGAGGTAATTATCAATTATAGTTAAGTAGGTTCTAGGCTCTATTAGAAAGTATACCAGTATACAGCCCTGTATATATATAATCTATATCCTAGGCTCTATTAGAAAGAAGTATACCAGTATACACCCCTGTATATATATAATATATATCCTAGGCTCTATTAGAAAGAAATATACCAGTATACACCCCTGTATATATAATATATATCCTAGGCTCTATTAGAAAGAAATATACCAGTATACACCCCTGTATATATAATATATATCCTAGGCTCTATTAGAAAGAAGTATACCAGTATACACAGCTGATGAATTGATTTCTCCTTTCCTTCCAATGGCAGACAATCTTCCAAGCAATGAAGAGATGTTTGATGACACTAGGTTTGTTTTAATTAGAGAATAAAATACAATTCACAAAAATATTTCTTTTAAATCTGTTCAATATCCAAGACCAAATTACTAAAAAAGAAGATTTTTTAAAACGCTTGCAATGTAAATCCTCAAATTACCGTTTTCAGACAGTTTTGTGTCAACATAAAGGTCATTCAGAACTTCTTTCATGGGTCCTTCAAATTTTATCGTCGAGACCATATATGATAAATATTAGTAAGTAGTTGAACTACGTGGATTGATCCACTTCTTTTTAGCTTGAATCGGTGCACAAGAGAAGTGGTTAAACTATATATACGCAGTTTAACTAATTCTTTCAATTCATCAAAGCTGGATCCTGGACAATCTTTGCACCGTTAGTTAAAAATAACAACGAATTGTCGATGTATAATTAAGAATTATGTAAAAGAAAAATTACTCCACAATTTTTTTTAGAAAGAAAGAACTGAAACGAAATGAAGATCATCCATATTGGAAGGTAAAACTAATTAATACTGAGATTTTTGCAAAGGCTGTTTTTATAGTTATGAATAATAAAAATGTATCATTTTAAAGAATTTGAACCAAATTATTTCTCGTGTTTTGCTCATAATTTTTGATTTTCTAGGCTTTAAGGGCGCTTCGCGCACCTTTTTCTAGTAACACTTTAACTTTAAACTGTTTCTTTTAAATCGCCAATTTTTTCATCGTTCTCAAAAAAAACAATTTTTGGAGGATTTTCCTGTTAAGATTTTTATATATATTTTCGTTAATACTTAATGTCGACATTTTTATTTTTAATATGAACTCATCTTTGCACAAGGTGAATGGTCTTTAATAGCAAATATTTACTCAATTTTTTTATGAAATTGACAAAATGTTCTTTTTACAGTGTGTCTTAACGACAGTAATTGTAATTTGATTTGGAACTATCCATTAAAAACTGTATTTCCTTATTCCCGTCGAGATTAAGAAGAGTCACTCGAAGTTTCAAGTGATGAATATATATTATATTTATTAGTGCTTAGGATCCATTTAATTTTGATGCGGATCCGGATCCGGATCCTTCAGGCAACTCCTTAGGTCTGATTTGAATATCTTCAGGGCAGAGAACAGTCTCTTTATACTGGGAACACAAGATGTTCCTTATCATCTGTATCTTTTTAGCATATGTGCGCCCCATCCCTTTTCCTTGTGAAGACTAAATTTGCTTAGTTGCAATGGGGAAAAGGGAGACTTCTCCCCCCCCTCTCTAGTTATTAAAGGGGGTGGGGGGAGGGGTGCACGGTGGAGGTCTGAGTTAAGATTTGAGCAAGATAGAAACCTGAGACCCTGAGAACATTTTTAAAATCTGTTAAACAATTCAAAATAGGATATTTTTAAGGAAAATTAAAGCTGTTTTGCACATTTTAAAAAATAAAATTGTGTTTGGATCCGGATCCGTGGATCCGCATATTTTGCGGATCCGGAACCAGGAAGCCAAAATCTTGCGGAACCAATGGATCCGGATCCTAAGCACTGATATATAATCTAACTCATGCTGCGCCAAGGAGAGTCTTAAAAGTTCAACAAAATTGTTCAGCAATAAAATGGAAAAATTAAATCAGATTTATAATTTTACATATACATACACAGTGGTAGGCGTTAATATCAATATAATGAAAACGACTTTACGATAAAAGTTTGGATTTTTAACAAGCTTTTTCAAATTACAAGTTCACAAGTAAACAAATAGAGACTGTAAAACTGACAACTTGTGTATCCACTATCCAAGCTATTTGAAAGCTTGGTATAAATCAAAATTGAAGTCTTCATTGTATTGATATATACGACGATGAATGTACAGGGTGTCCCAAAAAAACGATCTTTAAGACATTGTAGTACTCACTATGGTTTCATTTTTTTTAAAAGTGTACATTTTTGAAATCTTTGGAACATTTCCGACAGGAAGTATTCATTCACCGTTTGAAGTTTGTCATTTTGGCTTGGTTGAGTTCATGTATTATTTTTTTTAGAATTTTAAGCATATTATGGAATTTTATTAGGTTATGAAAAACATGCGAATCTTTTAAACAAATCTTAAAAATGCAGTTATTGTTAAGTAATGGCAAGAAAGGGTCAAAGGCTAAAGGTTATGCCTGTTTATTATGGACTTTGGGCTGAAATTTCCCAATTCAAGACAGCCTACTTTATGTCATGAAAGAAGAATTTATAAAAAGGTAATAGAGTAAGGGACAGTACTTAATGTCAATAGTTAGACGAGTCCTGGTAATCCATTGGAAGATCTCGACATTCCAGAACTACTAGAAATGTTGTCAGGGTTGCTGCAGTAATGAACAAAGATGCTTCCAAACACATAGCTAGAAATACTTCTCCTGTAGTTCTGCAAGGAGAAACTCTTTGACGTTAAGCAAGTTCAGCAGGTCAAGGATAGCAACTGAAATTAAATATCCCCATATTGGCCAATCAGAAGGGAGGAACTTAAACCTGAAGATCTACAGTTTTGTACTTGAATTTTCAACCAAAATGGCAAACTTCAAACGGTCAATACTTCCTTTATTTTATTGCTGTGAACCTTTTATTGGTTTCAATCGAAATGTCACACAGATTTCAGAAATGTACAAATTTTTAAAAATTGAACTATGGTGAGGGCTACAATGTCTTAAAGATCGTTTTTTGGGACACCCTGTATATAATTATATGTTCTATTCAGCAATGACGAATACAGTTTCATCTCCTTCCCTTCCTTTATCTCTTTTACAAAGATCTCAAAACTCTCAGGTTAGTTTGTTTCGGCTTAAACAAAGTTCAATTATTAAGTTATATTTGAATGATACAAAATTAATAACCACATAGTTGCCGGTGGCGGGGGTATGAATTTAGCCCCGATTAAATAAATGATTGACAATAAAGAAAAATATGAAATCATTTTTAAACCAAGGTGTCTGAAGACTGTAAAGTGAAGGTTGAGAGTTTAATACAGAGCTGCTGGACTGGGGATGCGACTCAGGTTTGCAAATCATTGAATTTTTTTCATCTTAAATTGTGATCTTCAATTTTAAAAAGAGGGGCATGTCCGATTCTCAACGGTAACCTTCAAATATGATTACAAATGTGGATTGTGGAAGATAATCTCGTTTCTCTGAAGAGAAGCGCTGAATTCGGAAAATTCTTCCATTGTTTTGCAGCAGAAGAGATGCATGCAAGTCCTGGTAAAGAACACACCAATTAAAAGATATCATTTTTTTAAGGTCATGGATATATTATTCATTCTTGATTTGACAACGTTTTTTATAAGGAACCGTTGTAAATTGGACATGCCAGCCTACTAATTTAATTCTAAAAATTAAGTCTAGTTAATTCTCTCTTTTTAACAAATTTATTCGATCGTTGGATCAAATTTATTCGATCGTTGGATCAAATTTATTCGATCGTTGGATCAAATTTATTCGATCGTTTGATCAAACTTATTTGATCAAGTTTTTTTTGGCTTATGAGAAATCAGTTGAGCAAGATATTTTTGTAGGTTCTGCTGCCAAAGAATTTTAAAGTTCCATTTATTGGTTGGCATGCCGTAGAGTCTACAATGAAACCCAGGGAATCATTCAAAATTAGAATTAGACTTGTGATAAATTAGCAAAGATTCTGAACTCTTGTCACAAGGTTGAATTTTAACCTCATTTCTCTTATTATTATTGTTGACAATAACCTACATACAATGTACCATGACCTGCAGATTACAATACGATGAAAACAGGTTTGAGCTCCGCCACTTGTCCTGGTCTATACGGGATCTAGTGTGATATTTATTACTATGAAAAACCTAACATTTGCATAAAATATGAATATTACATCTTGAGGCAAGGCAAGTTTTCATTTCCTTTTTAATAACTGCATGAAAGACAATGACCACTAATATAAAGGGGAATGATTTTTATCTTCACCCTAACTTTTGATTAGAATTTTCAATAAGAAATTTAGTAAAATTTTATTTTATAAATTCTGTGAATACTAAACTTTGAGCAGTATTTCTTGTTAAAAGAAAGCATAGAGACGACTGTTATCACTAATTAATAAAAAAAGTTTTTGTTTTATTTTGAATTTGGCAGGAACCAGTACGATTGGAAAGCTTTCTCTTGGGGTAGAAATATGCCCCGGGAATATGGAATACCAAACCAAAGGAAGATCATCGGATCAAAATACTTTTTTCTGTTAAATTAGTGCAGTTTTAAAAATTAATAAATTTATGTAACCCTTTTTTCTGGTAAAATATTTCAACGTTGACCAGAATTAAACATGGGGTCGTGAGAGTTTCCCCAAAAAAAATTGGGCCGGAACGGTTCAGCCGTTTTGACATTTAATTTGAACGGGTAAACGGATCTGACCTTTTTTTTAAAAAAAAGTTTCTCTATATAAATGACCAGTAAATAATCCGTTAATGGAGCAGAAAGATAATGAATCTGAACCGAGGCCTGTTTAAACAAATGGGCAATCAACACAATATCAGGTCAAAACTTAATCACATATCAGAGACAGTCCTTTTCGAGTTTATTGCCAGATTGGACACTTAGTGTCAGGTCTGGGCTACACCACTGTTAAAAATAATTCCCACTAAAAGATCCCACGAAGTAATAATTTTTTATCTTGCGGCATTCGAGATAATTGAACCAGTTACAAAATTGTTTTTTCGGACGACAAACTCCAAGCAGAAATATTTGAAAAAAATATATTCAGCTCTTGTAAGCTCCCCCCCCCCTTGAAGTACTAAATAAAATCCCCTTTTTTTTTGAAGATTAAAAATTCCGAAAATAAACTTAAAATAGTTTTTGCTTTTTTTTCAAGTTAGATTTTATTAATTAAAAAAGAATTGACAATGAAAAATACTGAAATGGAATCTGAAAACTTGAGCAATTTAATTCTCGCCTAAAGATTGATGTCATTGCAATTTTACCCTTATAATGAGTTATCTTTTTCTATCTATGTGGAACAAACTTGAACATATGTTTTTATTTTTTTTAAATTTGTTTAGGTTCCAAGATCAACATTTTCTGGAAGGAAATAAGATTAGACAGTTTATTAGGCGACCTGATGGTAAACTAGTCAGGTCAGTTTTCAAATCATGTCAAATTATTAATTCCTGCGGAAACATATTAGAATAAAACCAGATCAGCAACAGGCGACTCAACAGCCTAGAGATGTTTTAGCAGGGCCCTCCTGGTATACCAAAGTAAGTTATGCAGAAAAAACTATTATAAGACTTTGTGGAGAAACAATTCACATGGGAAGTGGCAAGGAAGATGTTAAGAAAGAATAGGCTCAAAATAAAACACAACAGTACAAGGGAAAGGGGGGAAGTTTAAAACTTTGACTCAGCTAGAACTCTTTATGGAGTCAAACTCTATAGACAAGCAGAAACTTTTGAATAATGTAGTTTAAGAAGTAAGTGCTGATCTCAAAACCTTTTATACATTTATTTATTTTTTGTTCCAACTTTTTAGAATATTTTCATTCAGATTCTTTTTGGATGTTCCCTTCATCATAACTTCATCTAAACCTTTGGAAAGTATTGACCTAGACATCAGTCAGGTATGCACTTTTATACACACAATTTCAATTATAAGAGTGTGGACATCAGTCAGGTATGCACTTTTATACACACAATTTCAATTATAAGAGTGTAGACATCAGTCAGGTATGCACTTTTATACACACAATTTCAATTATAAGAGTGTGGACATCAGTCAGGTATGCACTTTTTTACACACAATTTCAATTAAAAGAGTGTGGACATTTCACCCTTCATTAATAGAGGGGGCATGCACGATTTACAACGGTGCCCTTATAATCAATTATGTGGAAGATATCGTCGTTTTCATAGCTTTTCAAGTATTTTTATCAAGACATTAGCAAGTTATTTTTATAGAGAACCCGATTTTGAAAATATTCAATTTGTAGAAACAAGAACATTTTCTTCAAATAAAATTTTAAAGAATACCGTTGTTTATCTGGCATATATAGATATTATATACAGTAATGCCCATCAACCAAAAAAGTTTTTTAATGTCTTAAGGGATCCTTTTATTTTGTCCGTTTCAGAGCATCTTTTTATTTTGTCTGTTTCAAGGCATCCTTTTATTTTATCTGTTTCAAGGCATCCTATTATTTAGTCTGTCTCAAGGCATCCTTTTTTGAAAGATTGAAGGGATATTGTGGAAATTGTGGGAGAATTTGAGACAAAATTACCATTTACTGGAAATCTTTTACCAGTTCAATACTTACTAATTATGTAATAGTTTGCCCCCCCCCCCCTTCTGTATATTTACATTGTTTATGTTCTTAATAATATATTATTCAGTGTTCTGGAATTCCTGATGTGGCCCCATTAAACCCTGTGGCAGGGTTACAGGAGGAAAATGTTTACGAGTTAAAGAATAATTTTCCTGTTCTTTCCAGTCAATTCATTCATCCATACATCCATACAGTGGTGAGTTCATTCATCCTTACATCCATACAGTGGTGAGTTTATTTATCCATACACCCATACAGTGGTGAGTTTATTCATCCATACATCCATACAGAGGTGAGTTTTTTTATCCATTCATCCATACAGTGGTGAGTTTATTCATCCATACATCCATACAGTGGTGAGTTTATTCATCCATACATCCATACAGTAGTCAATTCATTTATCCATACATCCATACAGTGGTGAGTTTATTCATCCAAACATCCATACAGAAGTCAATTCATTCATCCATACATCCATGTAGTGGTGAGTTTATTCATCCAAACATTAATACAGTAGTCAATTCATTCAACCGTACATCCAGTGGTGAGTTCATTCATCCATACAACGATATGGTGCATTATTTATTCATACATTATTTATCTTTATATTTATAGTTCGACCGTATTGCTTCAAATTCCTAATCTATATATTAATAGTCCGACATAACTACGATATTGCTCCGCAATTCCTAATCTATATATTTATAGTTCCGACATAACTACCATATTGCTCCGAAATTCCTGATCTATATATGTATAGGTTCAACATAACTACCATATTGCTCCAAAATTCCTGATCTATATATTTATAGTTCTGGCATAAGTCCGATCATATAGCTCCGAAATTCCTAATCTATATATTTTAGTTCCGACATAACTCCGTCCATATATCTCCAAAATTCCTAATCTATATATTTATAGTTCTGGCATAAGTCCGATCATATAGCTCCGAAATTCCTAATCTATATATTTTTAGTTCCGACATAACTCCGTCCATATATCTCCGAAATTCCTAATCTATATATTTTTAGTTCCGACATAACTCCGGCCATATTGCTCCGAAATTCCTGCCGGACAAGGAGAAAGCGAAGTGTCTTATCCAGGCCTATGCTGCAGCTATAGGACAGGTATACTCAAAGCTCTTAAACTCATCAGGAGTAAAGAATTACCTAAAATTGGAATCCCTTAATTTTTCCGAATGATTGGTATAATTGGTATTATTTTAACATAATTTTAATGGTTAAAATTGATTTCATTTCAACTTAGTTGTTTTAAGCAAAATGCACAGTTCATATTGCCTCCTTTTAAACTTTGTTGAAAATTTTTAAATATATGAAGTTAGAAAGATACAAAGCACTTTAAAATAAAGAAAAATCACGATCAGTAAAACAAGTCTAAATCAGTTCTAATCTCTTATTTTCTGTTAGAATAAGGATTGAAGAAATTTAGGGCTGTCAATATAACAAGTGAGGAAATTAAAACAATGACTAGAAGAGTTTCTAAAAATGTTAGACTAGTGAAAACATTTGCGATTCATGTTTTTAATTTTTTTTTACAATGAAACTTTTAGCAAAAATGGTTTGACTCAATTTTTTGGATTAAGCCAGACTTTATTTTCAGGCGAGATTACTGTATGGATCTGATATTAGCGGAGATTTAAGAACCCCTATTACTATCAACAGTATTTCAACCAATGGTTCAAAGTATGTATTTGTTATTATTAACGTTTTTATAAATGTTGTTCCAATTTTAAGAACAATTTTCGGACTCAAAGTTTAAAAAAAGGTTTTTTGCCTTAACAAAGCGTTAAACTAATAATTTATTTGCTGTATGTTTTTATTTAACAGCATCGCTTGAACCTTCAATGATTATTTGCTATCAGATTTGTTTAGAGTTGATTTGATTTGATTTTGTTTTTATTTGATTTGACTTGATTTTGATCTAGGTATATGGTGACCAAGTTTCAGTTGAACTCCCTGGATCTGAACTCAAGCAAACCCAACATCTTCACATACAATCCTGATATACTGGTAATAACAATACATCCTTCACCTTTCCTTTTATTCCCCCGGCCCCCCCCCCCCTCCCCTCCCCTCCCCCAAGTTTACCTGCCCTTCAAAAAAACAAACCTTTTTTAATCAATTTTTTTAATGCTGATTTGATTTGATTTTTAGTCAAATAAATATGAAAACATTTGCCAGAAATGAACCAAAATAACATAACTTGCTTGGGAACCCAGCTTTGCCTGGAGTTTTCCTTTCAAAACTTAAACAACTGAACTCAGAATGTTTAAACAAAGCTAACAACATTCCCGTGGTTCTACTGAGTTACCCAATCTAAATTTAAATGAGCAGAATATCAGAGAAGAATGTCGTTAGAATAGTGTGTTAGAATGTGTTGGGGCAATACTGCAGCTCATTCTTCCATCAGTTTGCTACCCAAGTGGAGGCAGGCCAGCTACTACAATTTCTCGTCCAAGCCACATACTCCTCATTTTCTCGTTCGAGCAGCATACTCCTCATTTTCTCGTTCGAGCAGCATACTCCTCATTTTCTCGTTCGAGCAGCATACTTCTCATTTTCTCGTCCCACACGCCTTGAAATTCTCGTCCTTCCCATTGCTAGAGATTCTTATTTGCAGAACATCGTTTACAAATCATATTTATTTTTTTGTTTGGGAAAATTTAATGTATTATGTTTGCCCTAACATGGCCAGATTTTCAAATAATATTTTTATCTGCAAGGAATGGACATTTAAAAAAGAAATTATTGGAAGAACTAGGATTCCGAGGTGGCTCGGACGAGAAAATGATAAGAATGTGGCTCGGAATAGAAATTGTTATGGTTGACCTTCCTCCCCTCTTTAAGTCGACTTACAAATTTTTTCAATTTTCACATATTAGAAAACAATAATCAGTTTATTGATGTTGTGAATAAACCTCCTCACTATTCTTCAAAGAAAATGACTATATCACACTCCTCTGTCGCTTTAGTATTTGTAAATTGGCGGTACAGTCTAAAGCAGGACTACAGAGGTTGACCCAGCTCGGATATTCAAATGTCCGGTGGGACATGATATAAGCTATAAGCTTGTGATCCATAGATTTGAAGAAAAGTAATCTATCATATGAAAATGTTTTTGTCTCTTATATACATAAATTGTTATATACGGGAAACACTTCGAAAAATGTTCCGACGCAGAATTTCTTCTGGGGTAATAATTCGCTTCAGCCTTCTTAGCTATATACATCCTTGAAATCATCTCTGGATTGTTCAGCTGATCGACCCATCTAGCATCTCGGAACAAAACCATTTTTTTTTTTTAACGTCAGTAGATTTTATTGGAAGGCTGCTTAAAATAAACGTTTTTTGCACTCTGTATTATAATTACTTAAATGGCCATTCTATAGTATGTGAGCTTTAATTAGCAGTATAAATTAACATTCTTCAGCCTTATAAATATTTATGGACTTTTAATGAATAATTAGATTTTCCTTGAGCGTGTTTTTCCTGAAATTAAAGATTTTAAAATACAATTCCTGAATATTGACTTTAAAAATAAATTAGAAAGTATCGATTTTTTAAAAACTCAATTCAGTAAGAATTTTTATTTTTTTTTAAGTTTGTTCTTTGAATGTCTTTATTTTGAAATCACAGATATTACAAAATAAAATTACTGAAAAAGAAATTACAAATAATTATAAAATATTGAAATTAAATTACTCTCTTTAAGAATTCTTTAAATTTTAATAAGTTTTGACAAGCATATCTTTCTGAGGGATTTTTGGACGAAAAAATTGTGTTAAATGTTGGATGTTGCTTTTAAAATGTAAGAATAAGCATTCTTAAAAGCTAGAAAGCGAACAATATTAAAATTGTTCCTCCTGAACCATGTAATAATGGGATTTCTTACACATAGGTTTATTACTATGGAACTGAACAGATATGATACAAAACTCCATCTCTATCAATCCAGATAAGACCCTGTTGTATTCTTTAGTATGTATCGCTCAGATACAACTAGCTCTCCAAAATACTCCATCTCTATCAATCCAGATAAGATCCTGTTGTTTTCTTTAGTATGTATCGCTCAGATACACCTATCTCTCCATAATACTCCATCTCTATCAATCCAGATAAGACCATGTTGTATTCTTTAGTATGTATCGCTCAGATACAACTAGCTTTCCAAAATACTCCATCTCTATCAATCCAGATAAGACCCTGTTGTTTTCTTTAGGATGTATCGCTCAGATACAACTAGCTCCCCATAATACTCCATCTCTATCAATCCAGATAAGACCCTGTTGTTTTATTTAGGATGTATCGCTCAGATACACCTAGCTCTCCATAATACTCCATCTCTTTCAATCCAGATAAGACCCTGTTATATTCTTTAGGATGTATCGCTCAGATACAGCTAGCTCTCCATAATACTCCATCTCTATCAATCCAGATAAGACCCTGTTGTTTTCTTTAGGATGTATCGCTCAGATACAACTAGCTCCCCATAATACTCCATCTCTTTCAATCCAGATAAGACCCTGTTGTTTTCTTTAGGATGTATCGCTCAGATACACCTAGCTCTCCATAATACTCCATCTCTTTCAATCCAGATAAGACCCTGTTATATTCTTTAGTATGTATCGCTCAGATACAACTAGCTCTCCATAATACTCCATCTCTTTCAATCCAGATAAGACCCTGTTGTTTTCTTTAGGATGTATCGCTTAATATGTATTCCTGGTACGACTCTGTATTTCTTAATATGTATTCCTGATACACAGAGCTAAATCTTTGCTTCCCTACACGAGAATTAATGCATGTTAAGATGCAATTAAGCAACAATTCATGTTAACTGATATATAGTTTCTAGGTATTAAATTAAAGACTGTAATTAAAGTAAATCATAATACATGCTAATGATATTGACCGTTAGGTCTTCACAGAAATTATCGAACGAAATGGGGACAGATTAACACTCAGTGTATAGATACAAATATAGAGCTTTACGTAGTTATTAACAAGCGTAGTTAGGTTACAGATAATGCACAACGTAATATAAGTATGGGGTTTACTACGATATTTATTACATGTTTATGTATATTTAAGCCCTTCAGTCTTGATTTAGTAATGTCATCTTGAGATTGAATCGTGGATAGTAGGACCTCCCTGCCGATGATGAAGTTATCTTGTAAGGTCGACTATACAAGTATTGGATTTTTATTCGAATTCAAAATTCAGGATTTGTTCGAGTTTTGTGGATATGAAGAAGGAAGAGTAGCATTCTCAGGGCTTAATACTGACACATTCAGGTATTCTTTATCAGTCTTTATCGATAATGTACAATACAGTTATTAAATATTGTAAAAACTCTTTGTTTCTTAAACGTATATATACTTATTATAAATAATCGAAAGTGAATTGATTGTTACAAATGTACATACATGAATGGTACGTTTTCTCTTACATGCTTCGTTTTGTTTAAAACTAAATTTTTTTTTAGTTTACTAGAAGCGATGATGATTGGGGATGAGAAAATACCTGAGGCAAAAAACAAGATGTCGGCCTGAAAACCTCTTTGTCCATCCAGACTTAAAAATGTGGTCTAAATTTAATTTATTTTGTAATTCTTTCAATTTTCATTTAACTCTGTCCAGAATAAATGAATAATTTTCTGTGTGAATTTAAGAAAAATGTCTACGCGATGGTATCCCTTATACAAACGCGGGAATCCACAGCTGCGCGTGTTTATGCCGAATTTCTGGATGAAGCTGGTCAACCTAGAGAAGATAACTGTGCCCAGCAATAAGGTAAAGATAGTGCAGCAAGTGATTAATACCATTTTTTCCCTTCATTTTCTCTTGAAATTTAATGGGAAATCCAAGTTTTTATTTTTACCTCTAAACATTATAATTATGAATCTCTAAAATTTAAGTTTTCTTAGGTGAAACTTTTTATCCTAAAATAAGTGAATTTTCCTAAGATTTAATTTGATTCAAGTAACCCTTCATGCAATGCCCATTGATTTGATTTGATTTGATTTGATTTGATTTGATTTGATTTGATTTGATTTGATTTGATTTGATTTGATTTGATTTGATTTGATTTGACTGATTTTAGGTTAATTTTATAATTTCTCGTGAGATGACAAAATACGATGTTAAGAACTATTTGGAACAAATTTATAAGGTAAAACTTCACATTCTATTAGGAGCGCCGACCTATATTTCATTGAATGCTGGGATGTCCTTTAGTAAAAGTAAATTTTTAAATTCTATTCATCTGAAATGAATTATCTTGAGTAGGAACATTTTAAAAATCTTATTGATGTGGTCATATGAGATTTTAAACATTGCCCTGACCTTGAAACTCTTGTATTGGATATCCTTAATCCCGATTGCTTAATCCCGATATTTTTCATTTTCTTCTTAATCCTTTCTTTTGAATACTCCTGCTACATTTTAAACTTTCTTGGCTGCTGATTGGCTGTTCGGTTTTTTTCAATCGACTCTCTGATTGGTTGCATATTAATTACCTTTCTGGATATTAATGTAACATTAAATTAATCTTAAGATTACTAAAAAAAAGGATATCAAGCATTGATCTCGATATCCACAATTTAAAGTTTTAGTTCAGATTATAAAGTATTTTTTTTCGCAACAAGGAATGTTTTATTAATGGGAAAGTTTTATGGTTTAACAATCGAAAATATTCGACAAAACAAATAAATTTTTCGAAGTTTATTATTTACAGTGGTAGGCGATTATATCAATACAATGAAGACGACTTATTTACTTAAGTTTTGATCGTTAGTAAGCTTTTTTCAAATTACAAGTTTACAAGTAATCAAAGAGAAGCTTTTTTAATCGGCAATTTCTCTTCACTTCTATGTTTGTAGTAAATCCCCTACTTCATAACAAATTCTCAAAACGTATCTATCCAGGTACAACCCGTCAGCTAACAAAGTCAACCAGGACTCAATCCACACGGGTACAATCCCGCGATCTCGTAGCTATCAAACGAGCTATGTATCAATCCAAAATGATATTATATACTAAAAAGTTAAAGCTTAAAATACATTGTCGCTTTTAAAAAAAAATTAAATATATATTTTTTGTTTTAGGTTCCAGTTCTAGATGTTCGAACATTAAACCAGATGGGTAAGGTTCGCCCTAATCCCTTTAATAAAGGTCAGCTGATAAAGGATCCGGATACTAGGTTTGCCTTCGTCACCCTCGCCCCCGGGACTAAATTTGAGTTTCCTGATCTCAAGATTGATAAACAGGTATGACCTGGAAGGTATGGTTTCCCTTGAGACCTTTATCTGAATAATAACCTGGAATTTTTAAGAAAAATATAGATTTCCTTGTTAACAGAATGAGCAGATGGAGACTAGTAATGAGGAGGTGGAGAGCAGTAAACAAGAATTTAAAAAATCAGTTCACGCTTCCGGTCAAAAATATAGACCCGGGGTTCCAACATTTTTTGGTTTGTAACAAGTAGAAATAAAAATGATAACTTTAGCAGTCTTACATAGTTTTTGAGAGATAAAGTTGTGGCTATTCAGAAGTATTGTTATTTTTACAACTTTAAAAATCATGAAAAAAGATGGACCACATTTTAGAAAAGGTTTTAAAGGTGTCTTAAGTTTTCACTCACTCTGAAGGACTTATCTTGACTTTCTTCTAATAGTACAGGGACCCTATTTGATTAATAGTAACACATAGTTGAACCAGGCAGGGGTAGTTAAACCACTTTCCTGAAACTTGACCGGGCACACAAGAGCCAAGAGCAGTCACCATGATTGGTTTAACTTAGTCAATGCAACTCAACTACTTCTCATTGTTTTTATTAATAACACAATATTTATATATTTATATGTGTAGTGCTTACTCAGGCTTAGGACCCGGATCTGGATCCAAGGGGCAAAATATCAACCAAAAACTGAAAAAATGTTTACTTTAAAAACCCAAATCTGAAATTTTGAAAAAAGAGATATAAAAATTTTCTGATTTCTGAATGGTTCATCAAGGTTTAGCATAAAAATAAGCGAAAAAGTCTGACAAAGATTTGAAAATTCTGTTTGTTAAGAAAAATACAGTAAATTTTAATGAAGTAACCTGGATCCGGGATCGATTTTTTTCCAGTGCAAATCCACGATTCGGAACCGGTGTATGGGATCTAAACATGTATAACAACCTTAAGACTGACATTTGGTTTCTGTCTTGTAAATTGTTTTTATCGATATGCTAAATAATTGTGAAAAGAAAAAAACAAGTTTTAGAGAACCAAGAATGTCAGAAAAATGATTGAGTGAATTCTGTACAGTCGTCTCTTAAACTCAAATTAAAAGTAAAAGGTTGAATAAAGGTGTAAACTGTATAAATTCGTAATCTATGAAATTGCACTTTTTTTTGCATATAATTGTAATGTTTAAAATGGAACATATTTCTTGCCTAAAACTCTATTTTGCAACCTGATGCATGATGGCACACTGCAAATCAAGATGTGCACGATCTCACACAAAAGTCGAACAGTATTTTACCATTTAATCATTTTGAAACAGACGCGTAGCATTTTTAAAATGTATATGTCTAGGCCTACAGAAAAGAATTAGTGAGTTAGCGAGGTGAAACCAAAGGCCAGTGTGTTGCGACACTTCAAAGTCGAGGCTGTATAAAAGATTGATGACTAAGTTACAGTGTTGTCTTTATCTCAATAGGCATAGATCTTTGATATATGCATTCGACTAGAAGTAGTCAACATTTAAATATCAAAGTTTAACACCACTCAAAGAAGATTCAGACTAATTACAATTAGACCTTGAGTACATTTCAGCATTTGCATAAGAGCAAACAACAGGATTTTACTGAAGGTCTATGGAGACTAATAAGTGTCGACCAGAAAGAGTCAACACTTAAAATATCAAAGTTTAACACTACACAAAGAAGATTTAGACTAATTACAATTAAACCTTGAGTACATTTCAGCATTTGAAGAAGAGCAAAAAACAGGATTTTACTGAAGTTCTATGGAGACTAATAAGTCCCACTGAACATAACAAATGATTGAATAAATATTTTATTTAACTATTGTGTACTTTATCATTCTTCCTCACTTTATCGTGAATTTCATGATGAACGTGCTATAAAGTATTAATCCTGCTGTAAAGTTAAATTAGCTGTACATTATAGCACGTGTGCTATGAGTGCTATAAAGTTTTGATTGGTTCTGTCCACAAAGTTTATAACACTGCGAACCAAAATAACAGTGTTTTAAATGGTTATGATCTTTAATTGCTTATTTAGCAGGATGTTAATATTAGAGAAAGGTTTTCATTGCACACAAACTTTCTAGAATGTCGTTTATTATTCGAAATCGTAAACAATGACAGAGAATGGTTTCAAAAACAGTTATGGCTTTATCAAATAAATCAGAAATCTGATAGGTATTTCTAATCAGAGTTTAGGTAAAAATAAATGAATTCTGAGATAAAATAAATCAAAAAGGGGGAATGTAGCACACAAAACATTCTATATTTATTGGTTTCCTTCTAAAATTTATTTATTAATTATTAATTAATTATCATGCAATGTGTGCGAGCTTCGGGTGCGTATAGTAAAACTTACGGAACAAGGAAAAGAAAAGCAAAGCAAGGAATAAATGTACATCAAAAATTTGATAGAAATTTAAATAAAGAGTCCTGTATTTTTTTCAATTTTTGAAATTCAAACCAGATTCACAGTAAATAATTATGTTTTTTGATTTAAAATTTAACAAAAAATCTTTTGAAAATTCTTTAATTCTTTGTTTGAATTACAGGGTTACCAACAAAGGATGAGAAAGTAAAAACAAATTGAAACTCAAATATGCCGATCTACAGTTTAAATTCAGTCTTCTGCCTTGAATGTGATCTTTAAATGGCTTATTCAATGAACTGGCCAAGACAGAACGTAGTTTATACTTGCAGGGAATCAGAAGATCAGTAAACAGACACTAGAAATTACGTACAGCTGTCTCTGAAGTCTCATCCTTGATATATTTTGATATGCTAAAAACATATATTATGATATATTAAGTTTATTGTGATATTAGTTAGCCTGAACAATTTTTTAAAAATATTTATTTATTTCAGATGTAATAATAAAAAATGTCTTCGCCCGGTGACACGAATGAAGTTGTCAATGATAATATTCCTGAACCTCAAACTTCGGCCAAAAATACTGAAAATAAAGAAGACAATATAAATTCGGCGGCCGGCAGTTCATGTGGTTCCGGTGATCAAGACTCAAGCGCTGCTGGTTCCGCTCCAGTTGAAACTAAAGATGGTAAAGAAGAAGAAGTAAAGTTTAAAAAGCTCAAATTATCTCACAGAAAATACCGACCCAAAGACCAGGTATTTTTAAAACAATGATTTCAGGAACTATAGAGTAGCATATCCGATTCACAACCTTTGTCTGGTCAATAATGATTGAGAAATCTTTATTATCATTTCCTGGAAATTTTCAATTGTGGCCCCTCTGAACGAGATAACAGGGACTGTGAGATTGATGCTGACAATGAAAATGCTAGTGGTGTGGAAAATATGGACGAGGATTCTTCGGATTCTGATGATCTAAATCCCGCTGAAACAAGGTTTAACATTTTCTCAAAATTATTTATCATCACTAAAATACCTAATTCGGGGAAAATTTAATTAAAACGCACTTATTTAAGTAGATATTCTTTCGGTTGTCACAAAATACTATGCATAACAAGCGCATGCTAGTTTTTTTGATTCTACAGAAACATTTTGAAAAGACGTACTTTTAAAGAAATTTAAGTAATTTTTTTGGTTTCATGACTTATTATTTCAGGGTTTCTTCATCCAGTTCCACAGATGATGAGAGAATACTTCCGTTAGAAGAGGAGGAGGAGGAGGGGGGTCCTCTTGAACCAGATGAGGAGGAGGAGGAGGGGGGTCCTCTTGAACCTAATGAGGAGGAGGGTCCTGAGGGTCAAATCAGAAGAAGAATGTTCAGATACGTGATGGATTCATCAGACTCCGAAGGTTCTCCTCAATATATTTGTCCTCCTCTTGGCCCAGGGGGGGGGGGGGATTAAAGAGGGTCATAAGCTTAAAAATACATCAGCAATGGAACAGGGCTGAATATTTTTTTAAGGATTTTAGGGGAAATATTTAAGTATTAAGTATCAAGAAAGAGATAACTAACTTTCATTTTAATGTCGAATTTTACATTTTTTCCCCAGCTCATCAAGAAACATTCCCCCTAGCGTAATTGTTAAAATGCGGACTGGAACAATATTAAGGATTAATGAATGTAGATGAAAATGAGCAGGATAACCTTGACGATAGTGAAGAGAGAAGACAAGTTCAGGCAAGAAAACATTATCAATTTTCAGATTAAAAAACGAGGATAACAGGTAACTGTCAGGTTACTGTCACAGTGACCATGACACCAGGTAATTTCTGACCGAAGGAGTTGTGACAAGGCCCTAACTCAAATTTTGGCCCGAAACTAAGAGGCCTTACCCACCTATATAGAGAACATGGGCAGATTCTAATTTGGGAACAAAGACTAATCTTGAACCATGACCATGACACCATGACCATGACATCATGACCATGACACCATGACCATGACACCGTGATCATGACACCATGATGACCATGACACCATGACCATGACATCATGACCATGACACCATGACCATGACACCGTGATCATGACCAATGATGTGAGTGATACTGCAGGATGCTGAGATTGAATTTAGGGCCCGAAATGAAGCTTGTAAACTCTTGGATGAGATTGAAGTGAGGTCGCGAAATGAAGCGTGTAAACTCTTGGATAAACCTGCTCCGGCTCCGTCCTTGAACCTGCTCCGTGAGGTTTATGAAATACGTCTCGGCTCCGGGTCCACCCAAACCTTCAAGAGGAAACTCTGCTCATCAAAAGAAACTGTGAAACGGTTAGAATTTTCAATAGATCATATTTCTTTCTTGCTTTTGACCCATCCTCTCAGTTTTTTTTTCTTTTTCTATGATTTCTTTGCTGCTTTCATTCGTCAATCATTTCATACTTGCACTCGTTCTTTTGTCCTTTCTTACAGACATACTTTTCTTTCTGTCTTTCATCCATCTTTTCTTCTTTTCCATCATCTATTCTTTCTTCGTTTCCATCATCCATTCTTTCTTTCTTTTGTGACAAAGCATCTAAGTTTGTTTTCCCTTTGAGTATTTGGGACACCAGGTCGGATCTTATATTTGGTATAGAAGTCCCTTGGGACAAGTGAAGTTGCCGTAGGCCAGCAAGATAAGAACTAATAGTGGAGGATTTTAGTCCACGATTTAGTAGATAAGCTGTGAAAATTAGGACATGATCCTGTGTCAGGGGAATGGACATGTAAATTTGAAGTTCCTGGGAACATTTGAGGAGCAGATTCGATGTGGTTCTATAAACAGACCAAGTTCTAGCACAAAGGGAGTGGTTTGCAGTATTGGCAAGGAGTGCTTTCCAACCGTGGGGTAAAGCAATTCCAGGAAAAGAAGTTTCATCAAAAAACCCTGAAGGCCCGTATTTAGTTGAGCTGATAGTAGCAGTAGGAGTAAACAAGGAGGCTCCTGTAAAAACCACAAGTTTGTATAAAGTAAAAGTACTATAGTAAGGTAAATAGTAATAAGGAAAGTGATATATAAATGAAGAAGGAACACAAGTCCATTAAGGGACACTAGCTTCCTCTAGGGATACTAGAATCCTAAGTGGGACACGAAAAATCCACTAAGGGATATACAATTCTAGAAAAGGATAAAAAAGTCCTCTCAGGGACACATAGATCCAGTATGGGACATATTGATCCTCTATGGGATAAAAAAGTCCACTAAGGGACGCAAAGATCCACTATGGGACACATAGATCCTCTAAGGGACAAAAAGGTCCTTTGTGGGACACATAGATCCTCTATGGGATAAAAAGTCCTCTATGATCCTCTAAGGGACACATAGATCCTCTATGGGATAAAAAAGTCCTCTGTGGGACAGAAAATTCTCTATGGGACATATAAATCCACTACGGGACACATAAAACCTCTAAGGCACACAAAAACTAGTAATAGAAATGAAAGCATTTTGAATAAAATAAGAGTTAATGACAGAAGGACTGACGTAAGAAATCACATATAAGAGAGTTAAGTCACAAAAACTAGGAATAAAGAGAAAGTACGGAAAGGTAAAGAGAGAAAGAACATAGAAAAAAGAAGAAAGGAAAAGAAAAGAAGAAGAAAGGAAAAGAAAAAACAACACCAACCTAGAGCAGGAGCAGGGTTAGAAGAAGGCCAAATGACTGGAGGTAGGATCTGCTTTAAGGCCAAAGCACCTTTAGAAAGGATTTCTTGGCATCTCAGGTTAAGGGTTTGTAGGTTAAGTTTCACTTCGGGAGCTACAGCAGAACCTAGTATTGAGGACAGGGCGTGGCGTAGCGCAGCACCGGAAGGCAGGGTACCCGAGTCGGACCATGGGGACCCAGGGATAATAGCTGGGAAAATAGGGAATCCCCAGAGTCTTCTGATAGGACCAGCAGAGCAAGGAGGGCCAAGAGGGAAATCAAAACTACATAGTTTAAGTCCTGGGAACCGAGGATCTTTGTAGAGTGGGTAGAGGGAAAGAAGAGTTTCCTCAGAGCAAGGGTATAGTAGAATAATGATCTTCACAAAGGCGTCGGTGCTGGGAGAAACAAAAGCTCTCAAAACAAAGGTAGAGATTCCGGTTGCGGGGTAATCATCCTCTGGGATAACAGCATCGTTATGGCTGAACTCGTGTGGGAAAGCAGAGGAAGGTAGGTAATCTGAAACCAGCTTCCCGTCGGGGAAGTTGAAGATGTTGAGTGAGGGTATGCTGAGGGTCAGTTTGGTAGCTATAACTGGTTGCCAGAAAAGGTTGCAGTTTATAACTTTTTCTGCGAATAAGTTACCCACCAGGGCACAAGTACCGGAAAGGACACGTTGATTATCCGGGCTGAGGCGAAGAGCGATGACGGCGTAAGCTCCACCATTCCAGTTAACTGCGGTAAGGAAGGTAGGAATATCAGCCAAAGTTGAAATAGAAATGGCGCGTAGTTCGTCTACTGTGAGGTCAGATTCTTCCGTAAAATAATCACTCCGAATTAGTGGAGGGCCTTTCTTTGGTCTACCCATACTTAGAAAATTCGGTAGAAGAGCGCTGGAAACAGAGGTCTTTGTGGTACGGGTAGTAATGAACGAATGACTAGAGAACAGGAAGTAGAGAGGCCCGTAGGGAGAGAGAGAGAGATTTCAACAGGTGGGAAGTAGATAGAGAAAGTGATGCGGCGAGCGGCGCATCAGGCGTACAGTACTGCCAGGGATCATCATCTTCACAACATTTAACTACCCAACTACGTTGGGTACCTAAATATATATTACTATTTATTAATCAGCGTGAAAAATGTAAGTAGCTTTTTTTAGAGAGGGTTAAATCTTTTGGTTGGGATAGCGCTCAGCCATATCATCTGTACTCGATTTACACAACGTAAACTTAAGTTGAAGGATTAGCGTTATGTTACGAGAATAAACGAGAAGTTCACCAAAAGAAAATTAAGAAATTATTAAAAGAAACGGGGGTCAGGCCCCCCCTCGTACGCCCCTGCCGCCTGGAGGAGAATAATTGATTAAGCGCGTTTTAAAATTAAAAATTTTTGCCTGAAAAAAAGTGTAAAATAATTCTGCTGTGAATGAATCTGAGTGGTGTATGGTGCAGGGAACAGGATAGCTTCAGGGTCAGATGATCTGAAGATAAAGATATGGGATTGGGAGAGGAGAAAACAGGTTGTATCCTTCCCTACAGGACACAGGGAGAACGTTTTTCAGGTAAACCACTTATTTTTATTTTTTCATTCATTCATATTTTCTTTTATCCATTCTTTTAGTCTTACTTTCTTTTATCCATCCTTTCAGTCTTACATTCTTTTATCCATTTTTTAGTCCTACTTTCCTTTATCCATTCTTTTAGTCTTTCTTTCTTTTATCCACCCTTTTAGTCTTACTTTCTTTTATTCAATCTTTTAGTCTTACTTTCTTTTATCTATTCTTTTAGTCTTACTTTTAACCTTCCTTTTATTCTTACTTTCTTTTCTCCAATCTTTTAGTCTTACTTTCTTTTCTCCAATCTTTTAGTCTTACTTTCTTTTATCCATTCTTTTAGTCTTACTTTCTTTTATCCACCCTTTTAGTCTTACTTTCTTTTATCCATTCTTTTAGGCTTACTTTCTTTTATCCATTTTTTAATCTCACTTTTTTCCATTTTTTAATCTTACTTTCCTTCCTTTTAGTTATGCTTTCTTTTTACATTTTTTAATCTTATTTTCTTTTATCCGTTTTTTAGTCTTACTTTCTTTTAGCCTTCCTTTTAGTTATACTTTCTTTTATACATTCTTTAATCTTGCTTTCTTTTATCCATTCTTTAAGTCTTACTTTCTTTTAACCTTCCTTTTATTCTTACTTTCTTTTATCCTTCCTTTTAGTTATACTTTCTTTTATACATTCTTAAATCTCACTTTTTTATCCATTTTTTTAGTCTTACTTTCTTTTATCCTTCCTTTTAGTTATACATTCTTTTATACATTTTTAAATCTTATTTTCTTTTATCCGTTTTTTTAGTCTTACTTTCTTTTATCCATCCTTTTAGTTGTACTTTCTCTTATCCATCTTTTTAGTCTTGCTTTCTTTTATCCATTCTTTTAGTCTTACTTTCTTTTATCCTTCCTTTTAGTTATGCTTTCTTTTATACATTTTTAATCTTATTTTCTTTTATCCGTTCTTTTAGTCTTACTTTCTTTTATCCTTCCTTTTAGTTATACTTTCTTTTATACACTCTTTAATCTTGCTTTCTTTTATCCATTCTTTAAGTCTTACTTTCCTTTATCCTTCCTTTTAGTTATACTTTCTTTTATCCATTCTTTTATTCTTACTTTATTTTATCCTTCCTTTTAGTTGTACTTTCTCTTATCCATTCTTTTATTCTTACTTTCTTTTATCCATCCTTTTAGTTATACTTTCTTTTATACATTCTTTAATCTCACTTTTTTATCCATTTTTTAGTCTTACTTTCTTTTATCCTTCCTTTTAGTTATACCTTCGTTTATCCATTCTTTTATTCTTACTTTCTTTTATCCTTCCTTTTAGTTGTACTGTCTCTTATCCATTCTTTTATTCTTACTTTCTTTTATCCTTCCTTTTAGTTATACCTTCGTTTATCCATTCTTTTATCCTTCCTTTTAGTTGTACTGTCTCTTATCTATTCTTTTAGTCTTGCTTTCTTTTATCCATTGGCATTTTCTTGATTTGTTTAGCTGGGTTGCTGTGTTTGAGGTTACTTGACTATTTCAAATCAAAACTTGAATCTATCCGTTGTATTATCATTTCACAGTTTTACGGGAGGTTCTCTCTTAGTTAATATCTAATTTAGTCTAAATTTGTGAGCGGAGATTTATTGATAGCTTCATGCAGCCGAGACGGTCAGGTTATGCTGGCTCAGCTCTGCCCAGCTGGTTCACTTAGGTAACACTTCAACGTCCGATTCACAAAGGTACCCTTGAAACCTTTATTTGATCAATAGTGTGAAAGATATTGTTGTTTTTCCAGGTTAAAAGTGTTAAATTTTGATAGTTACTTTATGTTTCCCTGTAGTAGAAATGCGCGTGCAACTTTTTAGAGAAACCAAAGTCAAAACAATAACTTGATACTTGATCAAACAAAACTATTCAGGGTACAGTTGTGTATCGGGCATTGTCATCTGTACACGAAGGGTCTCTTAAGATTATGCCTTAAAACTTCTTCAGACAGATATCTTCTAACTACACAGTTTAAAATGGTCTGTTTAAAACTCGAGATAGAGATGATTTTGAATTGTTCTCAGACCTTAGACCTTTGATTGACTTCAACAATCCACTATTTTTTGTTGTAGCTGTAAAATGAAGATTTAAAGACCGAGCCACGGTTGTTTCTAGCTTTTTCTGTAAAGGAGTATCAGGCGATATCCTTTTAGAATGTGTTTATTTACTGTATACTGTTTATATTGTAGGAGTACGAGTAGGCTGGCTCAGCACCGTGGACCTGCGCACAAGATGTGTTTGATTCAAGAACAGGGGTGTATCTTTTTATATATAAAGTTGTAATCTCTGTTTGTTTGTCTGTTTGGAAGTCCTATTCTACTCTCTGCCGGGGAGGATGGACAGGTAGAAGGATGATACTGCAAAGAACCTGCTTGACTGTCTAGGTCCTGTCTGAAAAAGTCTTACTAAAGAAAAATCATTAAATCGTCCAACAATACTTTTCAGGCAGTATCTAGGCAGTCAAGCAGTTGACTTAGGGCTTTGATTTTTTTGTAAATAAACCATAGAATAAACTGAAAAAAAGTTTTTAAACTACGGTTTTGGTTTGAGAACGATTTCACAAACGATCGTTTTTCATTTTGAAAGTTAATTTAGTTTTATTTAAAAAACGTCAATTTTTTTATTTTTTGTTATTCACATGATGTTTTGTATATGCATTAGTAATATCTATTGATAAGAGGATAACTTAAAAAAATTGTACTGTAGTTCATGCAATGTGCATGAAAATACAGTACATGCACTTAAACAGTAGAATATATCGGATAAAATTGTACTGTAGTTAAATATACATATATTTACACTGTTTAGGTAATATCTGTTGATATAAGAGAGGAGAGATCTGATAAAATTGTACTGTAGTTAAATAAACATATATATACACTGTTTAGGTAATATCTATTGATATAAGAGTAGAGAACTCGGATAAAATTGTACTGTAGTTAAAAATACATGAATATACACTGTTTAGTTTANACACTGTTTAGGTAATCTCTGTTGATATAAGAGAAGATAACTAGATAAAATTGTACTGTAGTTAAATATACATGTATATACACTGTTTAGGTAATATCTGTTGATATAAGAGAAGAGAACTCGGATAAAATTGTACTGTAGTTAAATATACATGTATTTACACTGTATGTAATCTCTATTGATATAAGAGAAGAGAACTTGGATAAAATTGTACTGTAGTTAAAAAAACATGTATATACACTGTTTAGGTAATCTCTATTGATATAAGAGAGGAGAACTCTGATAAAATTGTACTGCTCAAAAATGATAAGGGAAGGAAAATACCTCTGTACAGTATACACAATAACCCAGGTATAATTCTAACATTTTCGTATTTTAGAATTTGTTGGCAACTTACACTGCCTACAGGTTTCATTCTTCTTGTCTAGCTTTTATTGCGGTTGTTTCTCTTAAACTTAGATTTCGAATTTTCTTGATAATTTTTTCAATTTAAGAATAAGTTATTTTTCCAGCAATAGTTCCTTGATTCCATGATTTAATGCAGTGGGATCCTTAAAACTTTGGAATAGGATTTGAGAACCGGTATACTAAAGTTTATTTTATATCATATAGTTCAATGCACATGAAAATATTGATAAAACCATCAATATCAAATACACACAAGATTGCTGAAATATCGTCTTACTATTTCACAGTTTTCGGGGTCTCACTGTATGAGAAAAATTCTTTTTATTCTGAACATGAAGAAAATACCGATTTTTTGAAATAATATTTTTTATTTTTTATTTTTTTACTTTTAGTAAACAGAAACCAGTTCTGTACTGCAGGGCGGGATCCTTATATACGGATATTTGATCGCAGATATATCGGGAATGCAAAACAGGTTTGATTAGTAAACAGAAACCAGTTCTGTACTGCAGGGCGGGATCCTTATATACGGATATTTGATCGCAGATATATCGGGAATGCAAAACAGGTTTGTTTTCTTAAATTTCTTTATTGAAGCCGAAATTAAAGCACCGTTGGAACTAAAAACGGTTTTTAACAATAGTAAAAAATGTTTGCAGGGTTAAACATGTGAGATACATTTAACAAAATAAAAAAAAATCCGCGAACACTCCTTTTAATGCATCTTTATTTCCAGGGAGAAATGGCGAAATTTTGTCCGACAGAATTAAGAACAACCAAGGTAAATGTGAATGAAGGGGCTGTGGGCGTAATTTTAATTGGCCCTTCAATGAAATAATTACTTGCATTATTTACAAAAATGATCGAGTTATTCTGGTTTTTCTATAAAAAAAAACTGTAGTTTTCAATGCCAGTTTTTCATCAATCATTTTCAAAGTAAAAAAAGTGTTGTATGTTTTTTAGGAACTGAATTTTTTACGCCAATTCTTAAAAGTAGTTCTTTTTTCATATTTTGTTAATTCAATAGTGTAGATATGGAAACTGGCTGATGTAATTTGATAAATATTCCACTTGTTAATTGAATAGTGTTGATATGGAAAGTGGCTGATGTAATTTGATAAATATTCCACCTGTTAATTGAATAGTGTTGATATGGAAACTGGTTGATGTAATTCGATAAATATTCCACTTGTTAATTGAATAGTGTTGATATGGAAAGTGGCTGATGTTTTTGATAAATATTCCACTTGTTAATTGAATAGTGTTGATATGGAAAGTGGNCTTCAAATATTATTTCTCTTGTTCATGCTCCTGCATTAAAAATAACCTTAATCTGCTGCTTTTCGGTTTTTTCGTACATCATAAAACTGAAATCAAAACTGACAGGTCAAATTTGTCAAATATTTAAATCTATTGAGATATTAAGTTGAATGTATGTAGACGAAAACACAAATTACAAAAGCCGATTTAGGGGACACAGGTATTAAAGGTACTGTAAGCGAAATTTAAGTGACTCTCCATGCCTAGAAACCTAGATACCTAGAAACCTAGAAAAACGACAATATCTTATACATTATTGATCAGATAAAGTTTTCAATGGTACCGTTGTGAATTGCTATTTTACATGGAGGGTCACTTGAAATTATGCTTACAGTCTCTTAAAATAGAAAATTCTCATTAAAAAAACGACAATTTCTATTTTATTTTTAATTTTTACAAATATCTTTTTTAATTAAAGTTTTAATATCCTGTTAGTTTATATGGAAACCGACCTTAAGGATATGCCGCGCGAATTATTAATCCAGTCGTAGCACATTTTTAAGGCTATAAATCTATAGTGTACACCATGTACACTATGTACACTATAAATCTATAGTGTTAAGTGTACACTATGTACACTATAAATCTATATTGTTCAGTGTACACTGTGATATTTTTACACTGCACTCAGCAATGTACAGGAACAGTGCAACAGTAAAGGGAGTGAACTACTATGGAGGAAGAAGCGAATATGTTATCTCTGGTTCAGACTGTGGAAATGTTTTCTTTTGGGATAAGGTGATTACATGTCTTAAAACGTATTTTTTAATGACCTTTTGATTATGAACGTGTATCGTTATAGAACAATAGCGTGCTGCAAACACGTATTTTTAAACTCGTCATTTGTGCCTAAGTGACTCCCTATAGAGTTGCACGCCCAACGGTACTTTTAACATCTTTATCCAACCAATCATGAAAAAGACCTCGCCGTTTTTAAATTTTTAAATGTGTAAAATTCTATCAGTGTCCTTCTCTGTTCTGAATAATGTATACGCAAGTTATTTTGATAGAGGAAATGAAAATGATCAATTTTAAATATAAAAATAAGGATATTCTGATTGTTTGAAGGGTTTAAAGGGAACCGTTGTGAACCGGAATTTCCACTCTATAAAGAGATAGTCCCTTTAAATTACGTATACAGTCCCTTTACTCAGTCTTCTATTGTCCATACTAGACAACTTACCTGGATAAGGTTTGTCATATCTATGAATACAAAGTTTTTTTTTTGTAATTTAGAAATAAATTTAGGAAACAGAAGGAATAGTGAATATTTTCCATGGCGATGATAACGGAGTCGTAAACGTTCTTGAGTCTCATCCTACTCTTCCTGTCCTAGCTACTTCAGGTACACAGAGTAATATGCAGGCTTTATATCCATCCTATCTATTTCAGGTACCCAGAGTAATATGCAGGCATTATATCTGTCCTAGCTACTTCAGGTACCCAGAGTAATATGCAGTCTTTATATCCGTCCTAGCTACTTCATTTACCCAGAGTAATATGCAGGCTTTATATCCGTCCTAGCTACTATAGGTACCCAGAGTAATATGCAGGCTTTATATCTGTCCTAGCTACTACAAGTACCCAGAGTAATATACAGGCTTTATATCCATCCTAGCTACTTCAGGTACCCAGAGTAATATGTAGGCTTTATATCCATCCTAGCTACTTCAGGTACCCAGAGTAATATGCAGGCTTTATATCCATCCTAGCTAATTCAGGTACCCAGAGTAATATGCAGGCATTATATCCGTCCTAGCTACTTCAGGTACCCAGAGTAATATGTAGGCTTTATATCCATCCTAGCTACTTCAGGTACCCAGAGTAATATGCAGCCATTATATCTGTCCTAGCTACTTCAGTTACCCAGAGTAATCTGCAGGTTTTTTATCCGTCCTACGGAAGGAATACATATCTATGTTTTAATAAGGAAGTGAATGTATGAATATCTAGGTTTGAATGAGAAAGTGAAAGGATGAATATCTAGGTTCGGATGAGAAAGTATTAATTATTTAAAACTACTTTACATGGAAGTTATGGGAATTTGACTTTACCAAGGATTGTTTAAAACCATCCCTCCCTGCGCTCTGGATGTTTTGTCGTCAAAATTGGCCGAGGGAACCCGTGGTTGAGTAACATTTTGAGATGACAATGCGCGAATGTTTCCCGAAAACTTTGGCGAGCGAGTGGTCCTTTTACATAACTGTCCCAAGGGACGTTAAATAACCTAACCTCCCTCTGTTGGGGGAATCATAGATCAGTAAGGTTGGTTATTATGCGGTAAAATGAATAACTAGGTTTGGATGGTGAAATATAATGAATATCAGGGTCTGGATGGGGAAATATAATGAATATCTAGTTATGAATGAGGAAGTGAAGGGATGAATAATGATGATCTAACTTTGGATGAGGTGGTGAAGTGATGAATAATGATGATCTAGGTTTGGATGAGGTAGTGAAGGGATGAATAATGAATATCTAGGTTTGGGTTAGGAGGGGAAGGTATGGATGAGAAAGTAAAGGAATGTATGAGGAAGTTAAGGAATAAATAATGATAATCAAGGAGTCGAAGGTATGGATGAGGTAGCAAAGGGATGAATAATGAATATCTAGGTTTGGGTGAGGAGGTGAAGGTATGGATGAGAAAGTGAAGAGATGAATAATGAATATCTAGGTTTGGATGAGGAGGTGAAGGTATGGCTCCCTACCCTGAGCATGAATGACTCGGAAGAGAAGAAAATTTTAAAGAAGAAGAAAGATTACATGCTCAGAACTATATCCAGGTTCAATATTAAAATTAATATTTGGCTTGTCCGTCTGGGTTTTGGTTTGTTCCTTAGTTTGTGTGTTTGTTAGTTAGTCGACATTAAAATTGTTGCCTAAAAAATCTTTTTTTATTTTGGAAATCCATCAATTTGGCGATATTTTAAGTTTTACAATGTTCAAAGAAAAAAATGCTTGGAAATACGGAAGTAGCTTATGGTCATCCTAGGAACCTGATGGAGAAGGAGAGAAGGATGAAGGATGCGTAACCAGTTTGCGGTCATCTTTTCTTATCCTAGGAACCTGGTGGAATAGGAGAGAAGGATGAAGGATGCGGATCCAGCATGGATAAATAAATAAACATAGATAGCTTATGTACGCAAAATCACCAAGAATTGTACAGTCCGCGAACTCATACTTCTAGGGGTTAAAGTGTACTTCAATGATAAGTGGGGTGGTTTGGTGTTTTAATGGATTTCATAATTATTAAACCACTCAGGAGTGAATTTTATTTTGAGAATATCAAATTACAGGGGGGAGGGGGTGTTGAGGTAGAGCATTTAAGGGTCATAGCTCAATTATTTTTAAGTTCTGAGGTATTTTTGATTTTTCCTTGACAACTCCGGCTCTGTGAAAAAAGACTCTTTTCTAAAAGTCAAGAAGTGTCAGGATGATTTTTTCAAAAAGGAGATACCTATTTGATAAAAATATGTCCCCTGGCTCTTAACCTTTCATGAAGTGATTCTTTGTAAATTCAACTGAGAACAAACATGACACCAATACATTTTCAAAACGCTCTACGCTGCAGCATATACTTTCTCTCTACAGAACTCATGTACACCACACGTACTCAATGACATAAGAACAGCCAATGTTCACAACCGACTTGAGCCATACATCGAAAGAATTTATCAAATGTCTTGACAATTTTTCAAAGGGTTCTATACTATTTTACGTAAATCTTGTAGAAGAAGATTATTATTATTTATTTTTATAGTAATTACGCACGTGGGTTGAGTTGCCATGTTTTTTGCTCAACACATGGATTATTAAATCAATTGTCCTTCAGCCTTCGTCTCGTTTTTTTTTTTGTATTTTAAGATATTATCAAATCTGATCTCTACAATCTCAGTATTTGCAAAAATAAATAAATAGCCATGAATATGCGGGAACAGTTTTAAAGAGCTCCATATAATCACTTAATTTAAAAACTAAATATCTGCAACATTCCATTATCAGAAAGTGAAAATGTACGGCTTATTTAGGGTTAAACTATATATATTATTCTAATGAAGGGAGAATTATTTTTTATTTCCTGCTATTATTATTGATCTTTTAGAAAATAATGCTTCTTAAATCATGCAAATTTTTATGTTTATTTTTAGAGTTAAAAATAAAAGTATACCTAAGAAGGCTGAAAGTAAAAAAGGATTTTTTTAAATAAAACAAAATCTAAAATCTTTCCAATCTACGATAATTTTAGTTTTCTTGGGCCACTTGAAATAAAGGCTAAGAACACTGATGTCCGAAATTGAGGCAAGCCTCTTCGGGTGCATCGCCATTCTTCCCTGCTTGACCAACCAGGTCAAAAGCCTTCATAGGAATGACTTTGTATAATAATCCAGGGGGGTAATGGATTGCATCCCCCCTGAAACCACCTATGCTTCTAAGGAGGGGGGACCGAGAACGACGGGAAGCTGCAGCAGCAGCTCTGGGAGAGGGAGGAGAACCAGGACAACAGCTGCAGGAGGAGGAGGAGGAGGTTAGTTCACATCCATCTCTTTTATAAATAGACTATGATCGGTCAGAATTCTTATTGGGTATTTTTCCTGAGGCATTTCTAAGGGCGACTTCACAAGTGGCAACTTTCCCCAAATGTGCAATTTTCTAAATGGCCACATCCCAACTGTACCTGTAAAGATTGGTTAGACTTTTAGAGGCGCCTCAAGCTGCACGGGGGGGGGAAGCGCCGCGTCTAAGATGAACAAGAGGCCGAGAGCAGAGAACAGAGGAGTGTTTAAACACTTTTTACCTTATTCACACTGTACAGTACCTGTGTACCAAGGGTTCGGCTAATGAGTTTAGATTAAGTAAGAACCAGAAAACCGTGGAAGGAAGATGATTTTGAAATAGTATTGAAGTGTTTCTGAAGTTGTCATAAGGCGAATAGTTTTACTTTCAGCCTTACAGGGACCGTTCACTTATTTGGATAATTTCAGGGTAAACTAAACAGCCTATTCGCAGTTGATTGGTATTAGTCTTACTTTTCAAATACAACTGTGGCCGGATAAAAAGCCGATTTTTCGTTCAGAATTCGAGCGGAAAGGTATGGTATCTCTTTATAGACATTATTTGAAGTAAACATCAATATGTTGTGCATCAAAATAAATTTCGAATATAAATTTAAACTGCAGTACCTCATTCGTTAGTTGTAAATGTCATAATTTTTTTAAAAACTTTTTGTTTTTTAACTTTCTATCTCTAAAATAACATTATTTTATCGCATTAAAAATTTTGTATTGCTTCTGTGAAAAGCTGAATTGAACGCGGTATGAAAAATGAAAAGTTGCGCAGGTACCATACCTTTGCGCTCGAATTCTAAACGAAAAATCGGCTTTTTCTCCGGCCACAGTTGTCTTTGAAAAGTAAGACTAATACCAATCAACAGCGAAAAGGCTGTTTAGTTTTAAAATGAAATTACTCAAATTAGTGAACGGACCCTTTAATATCTCATGTTTATTGGACTTTTTAAAATCATAATTTGAGTCTAAAAGTCATTTTCCTACTCTACAGTTTGTTTGGCTCTCAGTGGTCTCTTTGTGGCAAATATCTAGTAAACTTTTTATGGCAAAATTTATGGATTAATATGTATACTATATTCTGTAGATTTTTTGTGTCCTTAATGTTGCTAAGTGCCGTTTTTTTGCTGTACTCTGTACTTTACAGTACCCTGTATTGAGCACTTGTATTTTTTACTGTATTATGTAGGATTTGATTTGGTTTGGTTTGATTTGTTTTGGTTTGGTTGAATTTGATTTGATTTTATTTGGTTTGATTTGATTTGATTTGATTTGATTTTGAGGATAAGGATGTCTCTAAAACTCTGATTTGATCTGATTTGATTTGATGATAAGGATTCCGATGATGACAGTGAAGTAGGAGAAGAAGAGGATGATTCTGATGATGAAGACGGGCCTCCTGGATTAAACTGTGCTCAGTCCTAAATTGTCCAAAAAATACAGTGGTCTCTATAAAACTGTGGATTAGGAAGAATCTTAAGAAGCTTGAAAATCATTCTAAGAAGCAAAATGGGTCTTCTTAACATACACTGCATAATGGCAGAGTTATGTTCATGTTCATGTTCATGTTCATGTTCATGTTCATGTTCATGTTCATGTTCATGTTCATGTTCATGTTCATGTTCATGTTCATGTTCATGTTCATGTTCATGTTCATGTTCAGTGCAACAATCCTCTTCCTATTCAACATTTTTATTGGTCTTACTGAATCTCTTATTAAAAGATTTTACGAAAAATTCAACCAATGTGAGTTTTCCAATCCGACCAATGAGAGGCTAAGAAATCTTAAAAGATAAATATTCACAAACTAATTCAGTTTATCTCCTGTAGCTGTTTTAACTAAGATGTTAATTTTTGAAATGGCAAATTATCCCCCAGAAATTTTGATTCTCCTAAAAGCCAAGTCTATTCAAATTGAAAATTGTTAGATTTATAAGAAAATAGCTACACTACAGTGGTAGGCAATTGTAACAATACAAAGAAGACGACTTTTTATTTAAGTTTTGAAAGTTTTTTTTCAAGTTGCAAGTTACTAGAATTCAACGAGAAACTTGTTTGTGTTTCCATGCTATTCTACACCTTAATATAAAGCAATTTTTAAATAGAAAGTCGTCTTCATTGTATTAATATAATCGCCTACCACTGTACTCTATCCTACGTGTCATTTATTTGTCATTTTCTTGAGTCATCCTAATCTTGTTGAAATTGACATTTATGAAAAAAAATGAAAATTTAATTTAAAGTTTAAAAAAATAAATATTTATTTTTAAAGAAATTTGATAATCATACATTGTAATGTAAGATTTACAAATAAATTTTATATTTTTAACGTAACTTAATTCCTGTACAGGGTTTACATACTTACAATACATATTGGAACAAAAGGAAATATTATTTTTTAGTTCTTTTATTTTTAATTATTTATTTATTTCTACAGTGTAATATTTTAGAATTGTGAGTTTTTGAGCGGAAAATGTGAAATCTTGTGTGTGACTTGTACAAATATACAGTTCAGTGCATTAAGTATCGTGTTTTGTACACAGTACATCAAGTAGTCTGAAATTTACAGCAACTAAAATATTCCTTCAATCCACAACGTAGAAGTTTTTTCCAACGTACAGCAACTGAGATGACCAACTACTTTGCTGTACAGTGAACAGCTATTATTCTCATTGTTCAGCTGCTGAGACGATCCGTTGTTGTACACTGTACCGCTACTTCTCCCAATGTACTGCAACTGAGAAAACCTCTTCACTGTATAGTGTACAGCCAATTTTCCAAATGTACTTCAACTGAGATGACGTACAGTATACAGCTATTATTCTCGCTGTATTGCAACTGAAATTATCCTGGCGTGTTGCGCCACTAGGCCGGTTAACCAGATCTCGCCAGGGGTCAGCAGAAGTCGCAGAAGAACCTCACCAGTTGCCACAAAGAGCCTAAACATAAACTCCTTATTAATTTCTTTAAGGCCTTTCCAATTAATGTTGTATTGACTCCTTATTTAAAAGTAAAATTTCTGGACCCATTCGTAATCTTTAACTCTTTGTCTGAGCATAAACTTATCTTTGGTAATGTTGACCCGCTCGACGGCCCATCCCTATTGTCCATTCTCTATACTGCACATCCGACCTACTGAACATCCCATCTACGACAGCTGTTTATTTTTGTAAATTGAGGGTTAGGTTAGGTTAAGAGAATTTCTGGGCCGAGCGCTGCGGCTAGGGGGCTGCGAGCCACTGCCAGGCCAGGCTAAGGGGGCGGGCGCTGCAGCCAGAAGTCCATCTAGCAGCTAGTAGGTCGGATGGGCAGTAGGACGGATGGGCGTAGGTTCAGAAATACACACNGAATTTATCATATTAATCTTTTTTCTGATTGTATATTTTCAAAAGGAAAACCCAACTGTGTTCCCTTGCTTCCCTCAGTTTTCTTTTTTTCTTAAATAATATTTTTATCATTTTAGCAATTTTGTGGAAGATTTTTCTCTGGGGGGGGTCTGGCATGTAAAACTGGTTAATGGCTCCCTTGCTTCCCCCTAATCCTTCCGGGCCAGTATCTTCCAGTTGACGCGGCCTGACTTAGCTTACATTCAGTTCTTTCTCCTTCAGCGCATTTTTGGATTTAATTTGAAAATCATAATTTCTTACTTAACAATGCTTGTACTTCAACATTTAAAAACCTATTCTTAGTTTCATTTAAATCAATGCAAATATCTTAATCATTTTATTTTATTAGACTATTTACCTCATAAGTAAAACATGTATTGTACATATTTCAGAGAGAATGGCAGAAATTATGGAAGAAGATAAAGTTACCATCAAAGAAGAAATCAAAGAAGAAATCAAAGAAGAAATCGAAAAAGAAATCAAAGAAGATGTAAATGAGGAAAGTACAGAAAATCGAGGTATGGTTAAACTTTTTATATATATACTCATTAAGGATGATCAATTTTCAACTTTTTTATAATTTCAAGCTCATAAAAACCGTTACTGCAATTGATATTTAAATTTATTAAAATAAAAAAGTGGATGGTTTAAAAACGATTCTTCATAACATAGGGCTCTTGGTATGAAAAGATGTACCTGGAGCCGGTAAATATTTTCAAAATGCTTAATATATATATAAAAAGAGATTTTTCGGGACTCTATGGCGACTCTGGATAATTCAGTGTTTTATGCGAACTATTTTTTGCAAGCATTAGTGAATGGCAATTTCAACAATTTCAACAAACTCGTCTTTTGTAAATGTTGTTTGAATAAGATGCATATAAGAGGGGTTGGTACTGATGGGTAGAATTTCTGGGTACAAGAAAAACCCCAGCAATTTTGTAAAATAATGATAATAATGTGCACATATAACTTTTCTATTTAATTATTAATTAATTAAGTGTAGACGTAATATATACGGACTCTCAATTGATAGATTGGCATTTTTGATGCAAAACTGTTCTCTTAAAAGCTTTGTTTGATCAATAATTAATTAGATATCCAATTTTTGTCTTAAAAAAACGGATAATTTTCATTTGTGGATTCTCTACAAAATTGCGCATTTTTTTCTTTAGAAACAATGAATAAGCTGTAATGCACAACATTATTTTCCACATTCTAGATCAGATAAAGGTTCCGTTGAGCATCAGATATGACCTCTGAGTTTAATTGCAGAGTCACTTAAAAATTACAACAACTTCAGGATATGTCATACTTGAGGTTAATATTTATTAATTCTCTTTTTGAATTTCCAGATGAGTTTGTGAAGATTGAAGTAGATCCCCTTTTCTCTGAACCAAAGAGACTTAAAAAGAGTAAACTGAGAGAAAAAAGAGATAAAAGTTATCCCTGTGGAAAATGTGATTATGTGGCAACTAAATCCATCTATTTAAAGAGGCATATTGAATCTAAACATGAAGGAGTGAGATATCCTTGTTCTCATTGTGAATACGCTGCCACTCAGCCAGGTGATCTGAAGATACATATTGAAAATAAACATGAAGGATTGAGATATCCATGCGACCAATGTGATCACACTGCAACTACAGCAAGAAGTCTGAAGAAACATATTGAATCTAAACATGAAGGAATACGATATCCATGCGATCAATGCGAGTACGCTGCCACTCAAGCAGGTGATCTGAAGAAACATATTGAAAATAAGCATAAAGGAGTGAGATATCCGTGTTCTCATTGTGAATACGCTGCCACTCAAATAAGTAGTCTAAAGAGGCACATTGAATCTATACATGACAAAGTGAGGTATCCTTGTTTACAATGCATGTATGCTGCAATTAACGCCATTGATCTAAAGAAACATGTAGATAGTGAACATGCAGGAGTGAGATATCTATGCGACCAATGTGCATACGCTGCCTCTACAGCAAGTTGTCTTAAAAAGCATATTGACTCTAAACATGGAGGAGGGATATATCCATGCAACCAATGTGTATACTCTGCCACTACAGCAAGTAGGCTGAAGAGACATTTGGAATCTAAACATGAAGGAGTCAGATATCCCTGTAATCAGTGTGAATACGTTGCTGCAGGGGTAAGGAGTCTGAAGTTACACATTGAATCTAAACACGAAGAAGTGAGATATCTCTGCGACAAATGTGATTATGCTGCCACTACAGCAGGTAATCTGAAGTTCCATATTGAAAGTAAACATGAAGGAGTGAGATATCCTTGTTTACAATGCGTGTATGCTGCAACTAACGCAAGTGATCTAATGAAACATGTAAAAGTGAAACACGAAGGAGTGAGATATCCATGTGATCAATGTGAGTACGCTGCAACTCACCCAAGTAATCTAAAGAAACATATTAAAATTAAACATGAAGGATTAAGATATCCTTGCGATCAGTGTGAGTACCGTTCCACTGAAGTTTGTTCTCTTAAGAAACATATTGAAAAAAAACATAAAGGAGTGAGATATTTTTGCGATCAATGTGAGTATGCTGCCAAAACAGAATTTTTTCTGAATAGACATATTAAAAAAAAACACATGAAAGAGTGACATATCCATGCGACCTACAGCAACTCGTCTACAGAAGCATTTTGATACTAAACACTAATGAGTAATAACGCTGCCACTCGACCAAATATTCTGAAGATTCATATTGAAATAAACATAAAGGGGTAAGGTATGCAGGGGTTTATATTTTTCTGTTTGAGCTTTCATTGGGTTTGGCGAAAAAAATGAAGAAACAAGGAAAAAGGGGGATGGGAAAAGCGAAGAGAAAGGGGAAAAAAATTTAATGGAAAAATTGGAAGAATGAAGGAAAAAAACCACAAATAAAACAAGATAAAAAAAACAGTATCAAAAATGCTTTAAAAAAATCCAGGGGGACTTTGAAGTGACCTTATTAGGGCACCAAAACGCTCCATTATATTAATAAAATCTAAAAATTTTCTTTGAAGTTTGCGCGGGAAACCTTTAAAATATACCTGTTTTTCTAAATTTGGGGGAAATATATGATTCTGAAAAGGGGAGGGGGGGAATGTGAGTCTCTCAACTAATACACACCCCTGGGTTTCCATGCAATCATTGGGAATATCTTTGTTTTAAATTAAGTAATCTGAAAAGACACATCTAAAGTAGACATGAAGGAGTAAATATCCCTGTTAAAAGTGTTTTATCCTGCTCCTGCATCACATAACCTGGAAAGACACATTGAAAGTAGACATGAAGGAGTAAAATATCTCTGGTAGCAGAGACATCTTACCTCTACCATAGTATCATATTTGAAATAACGTATTATTGTAGAATTTATCATATTAATCTTTTTTCTGATTGTATATTTTCAAAAGGAAAACCCAACTGTGTTCCCTTGCTTCCCTCAGTTTTCTTTTTTTCTTAAATAATAGTTTTATCATTTTAGCAATTTTGTGGAAGATTTTTCTCTGACAAATTACATCTTTGAAATAAGCTAAATGTCCAAGATATAGTTATCACAAATATGAAATCGTTTGAAAAAATTTCGCCTTTTGGCCGGTGCGATTCAATCAAGGATGTGCGCACATAGAAGTCATTTGTGAGACTGAGGAAAAATTTATACTTCAATATATTAGATTAGGCTTTCCGGGCGCTTCACGCCAATCTCCTTTTTCAACGAAAATTTCTATTCGTAAACTATAAAGCCATATAAAAATAAGTTGCGAATTTTTTGTTGTATTTTTTAAAAAATTTCGTAAATCAAAAAATTTTGGGAGACAAATATTTGAAATCCAAGCATAAGTAAACCTTCCCTGGTGTCATGTAAGGTGGTCACATGCATCTCTAATTTATTAAAATTTTCGTGGTTTTTCATAATTTAATAACCCAGGTCGTATTTACCAGTATACGATCCTAACAGGCCCCCTACCCTGAGGCTCACATCTGATTATCTAATAAGGGTGCTTATGGGTCGGGTTACTCGTTTTTTCTAAGGTCACTTGGAGGACAAATGAGGCCCTTCGTTATAAATAAGTAAAAATTAAAATCGAATTTTTATGGAGACAAATTTTTGAACTTTTGATCTTTCGTAAACCCTTCTTGGAGTCATGTAAGGTCCCACACAAAATTTGGGCCTGATCAGTTTAGCCTTATTGACGTTTTTGGATACAAACAGACGAACACCCAGGCAGACAAGCAAAATATATAGATAGATAAAGAGTGAATTTTAATCAGTGTAAATCATTGTTTTAGCAAATATATTTATTTTAATTCAAAGCCTATTTAACTTTAAATATAACATCTAGTGTACATATTTCAGAGAGAATGACAGAAATTATGGAAAAAGGTAAAGTTACCAAAGAAGAAATCTCTACTGTAGAGGATACATGTACTGTATTTGTAGTGGGAGAAGATGTAAAAGAGGAAAGTACAGAAAATCAAGGTATTGTTAAATATTTTAAAGATTTATCTATAAAATATTTAACAATACCTTGATTTTCTGTACTTACCTCTTTTACACATATTATATATACATATCTTTAATTGTAGAAAACCAAGGATTTCAAGAGTTCTCGACACACAAGTGGAGACTGATATATCAGATTAAATATACATTTTAGATGTTTAAATAGGTTTAATAGGTTAGGAAGCTGGATGCTGCGGCCACATGACCAATTATATCAATTATTGGTCAACCATTGATTGGCTCACTTGAACTATGTTTTTGCTCATTTGAACAAGTTTTTGCTCTTTTGAACTATTTTTTTTTGGCTCATTTGAACTTTTTTTTGCTCATTTCAACTATCTTTGTTGCTCATTTGAGCTATATTTGGGCTTATTTGATTTATTTTTTTCTTGCTCAATTAAACTATTTTTGGCTCATTTGAACTTTTATGTTTGAACTACTACACGTGGTACCTCGTGCAATTATAGTTCAAACGACCAATAGTTCAAAAAGTCAATAGCTCAAGCGGCAGTAGTTTAAACTAAATAGCAGCGATTTTATTTTGTAAGTTATAAAGTGAGTTTTGTTCTGAATTATTAAGGATTATACTTAAAAATGGGAAAGTGGGGTTTGTCTCGAAAACGCGACAATTATTTAAGTTCGGGATATGTTCGAAAATGGAAAACCTGACATGTTAGTTTTGGTGGTCAATATCTTGTTGGCCTGGAAATCTATGGTGAAACTAAGAATATTACAAGAACCAAGATGCTCAGGTGTGAACCTATAGGGAACATACAAATTTCAATTGAGAACTAGTAGGAACAAGTGGGGAACTAGTGGGAAATAGTGGGAACTAGTGGGAAATAGTGGGAACTAGTGGGAAATAATTAGGAATTTATGTTTCTCATGAATGGATTATTTTTCTTTAGTTTTTGTCTACATTTATTAAATATTCCCCAGTATCCCATGTTCCCTATTAAATGCTTGTAAGAATATGCACTCCTACTGTCATCAAGCAGAGTATTGTGACTAATAGACATTTTTCACAATTATTATTTAGATTGTTTTGTTTACCTGTAATAATATTTAATCTGAAATCTGAGACAGCTCTTGTGTTCTGCTCTGGAGAATCCGAAGTTGTAATCAATCAATCCACTGTGAAGATATCGGAGCTGTATTCAACCAATCAATGACTAATCAATCTACTATAAAGATATGAGAGCTGTATTCAATCAATCAATGTACTCTGGAGAAACCGAAGTTGAATCAATCAATCCATCCACTGTGAAGATATCAGAGCTGTATTCAATCAATCAATAAATCTACTCTAGAGATATCGTAACTATTTTTAATCAATTCATCTACTCTGGGAGCTAAATTATCAAGTGTAAGGGATTTGTTGCAGAATACGTCGAGGAAAGAAAAGGGGTAAGTAGGACTGGTAAGTAGGTCATCTTCCTTCTTTCTTCACTTATCTTCCAGACTGGTTTGGTTCTGCTTGGCCCCTATGCCTGACCTAGCGTGCAGTCAGCTGGTTTATTCCCACAAGTTCTCCTGATTTTAGCACATTTTTGATTTTAATTTTAAACATCCTGATTTCTCATTTTACCATACGATGCTTTAACTTGAACAACCCCTTCTTGTCGTTTACTTCTTTTTAATTAAATGTTTGTTTTCAGTTCTATTTTTTATTCATTTTATTTTACAAGTATATTTACCCCTAAAAGTATAACATATTTGAAAAATTTCAGAGAGAATGACAGAAATTATGGAAGAAGACCAAGTAACCATCAAAGAAGAAATCTCTACAGTAGAGGATACATGTACTGTGTATGTAGCGGAAGAAGATGTGAAAGAGGAAAATACAGATAATCAAGGTATGGGTAAGCATTTTCTACATCTATTTGTTTAGGATGATCGATTTTTGACTTTTTTTTTGATATTCGGGCACATTTATTTATAAACTCTGCTAGTCTTTTTGTCTGTTTGTATCCAATCAACGTCAAAATGGCTGAAATGATCGTGCCCAAATTTTATGTGGGACCTCGGATGACCCAAAGGAAAGGTTTATGGAAGAATTTTCAAAAATTTGCTTCTAACAAAATTCGAGTTTTGAAATTTTTGATAATCCACGAAATTTTTGTTTTGTCTATCTACATACTTTGCCTGTCTGTTATGATGTTTGTTTGTGTCCAATAAACGTCAGAAGAGGTGAACTGATCAAGGGAAGGTTTATGAATTATCAAATGAAAAAAATAAGCCTCCAACAAAATTCGATTTCAATAAAAATTTTGAAAATCCACGAGATTTTTTTAATAAAATTCACGAAGTTTTTTCGTTTTGTTTTACAATTTATACAAAGTTAAAGTGTTTACAATGCGTTGATAGTTTCTCCGCCGAGGTCCTGTATCATGGAAGAATAAATGGCGGGTCATGTCATCATTTAATAGAAGATGGGTGCAGCCTAGCAATTGATGGCCTTTTCAGATATTATTAAAAATTTTAAACCATTTAGATACTTGAGGTTAATATTTTATTAATTCTCTCTTTGGATTGTTTAGGTAAAGTTGTCAAGATTGAAGACGATCCCCTTTTCTTTGAACAAAAGAGCCTTAAAAAGAGTAAGCTGAGAGCAAAAAGAGATGAAAGTTATCCATGCGTAAATTGTGATAATGTGGCAATAAAATCCAGTAATTTTAAGAAACATAATAGAAGTAAACATGAAGGAGTGAGAACTCCTTGCGATCAATGTGAATACGCTGCCACTAAAGCAGGTGTTCTTAAGAGACGTATAAAAAATAAACAGGAACGAGTAAGATATTCCTGTAATCAGTGTGAATACGTTGCTACAAGTGTGAGGAATTTGAAGTTACACATTGAATCAAAACATGAAGGAGTGAGATATCCTTGCGATCAATGTAAATACGCTGCCACTACTTCCGGTAGTCTGAAGATACACATTAAATCTATGCACGAAGGAGTGAGATATTCTTGTTCTCATTGTGAATACACTGCCACTACAGTAGGTAATCTGAAGAATCATATTGAAAATAAACATGAAAGAGTGAGATATCCCTGCGATCAGTGTGAATATGTTGCTACTGGTGTACAGAGTCTGAAGTTACACATTGAATCTAAGCATGAAGGAGTGAGATATCCCTGTGGCCACTGTATGTATGCTGCTACTGATCCAAGAAATCTAAAGAAACATATTAAAGCTAAACATGAAGGAGTGAGATTTCAATGTGACCAATGTGATCACGCTGCCACTACAGCAAGTCGTTTGAAGAGACATATTGAATCTAAACATGAAGGAGTGAGATATCCTTGTTCTCATTGTGAATACACTGCCACTACAGCAGGTCATCTGAAGAATCATATTGAAAATAAACATGAAGGAGTAAGATATCTCTGTCATCAATGTGAATATACTGCTACGTCAGCAAATCGTCTGAAGGGACATATTAAAAATAAACATGAAGGCGTGAGATATCCTTGTTCTCATTGCGATTATACTGCCACTGAACCAAGTAATCTGAAGAAACATATTGAAAATAAACATGAAGAAGTGAGGTATCCCTGTGATCAGTGTGAATATGTTGCTACGGGTGTACAGCGTCTGAAGTTACACATTGAATCTAAACATGAAGGAGTGAGATATCTTTGCGATCAATGTGTATACGCTGCCACTACTTCCGGTAGTCTGAAGATACACATTGAATCTAAACACAAAGGAGTGAGATATTCTTGTTCATATTGTGAATACGCGGCAACTCAAGCAGGTAGTCTGACGAGACATATTGCAAGTAAGCACTAAGTAGCGAGATATCAATGCGATAAATGCGAGTACGCCGCCACTACAGCCGGTATTCTAAAGATACATATTGAAAATCTCATGAAGGAGTGAGATATCTCTGTGATCAGTGTAAATACATTGCCACCAAATGCTGTTATTTAAAAACTTATCAAAGAATGCAACATATCAATCAAGAAAGGCTCTGCATTGTATTCTTTAAATTGTCACTTCTCTATAATTAGTTACTCTTAATTTAGAATTTAATTTATTAATCTTTTTCTGGTTGTATATTTTCCATATCAGAACCCAAGTGTGTTCCCTTGCTCCCCTCGTCATTCTTATTTTCTTTTAAAAAAATTTATCCTTACTTTTTTTGCATAAGATTTTTTTCTTACAAATTACATCTTTGAACAATATAGAAATTATTAGTATTTATTCAACTGAAAAAATACGTTAATTCAGAAAAAGAAAATATACAATACATTTAATACATTCAATATTTATCTTCTTCTGAGATGAACTGATGAACTGAGAATATGACAGGATCTCCAGAAGAAGACTGTGTGGAAAAGATGTTGCTAAATGCCCCTAGCGGGGGCTACATCAACTACTCTCCAAGTATACAAGTAAGTAAGGCTTTAAGACATATATATATAAAATACATTTTATAAATCTACATATATGGGGAGGGGTTTGATGGGGAAAATTGTGCTATACGCTGGGGATGGGGCGGGGGGTTGTAGTAGAAACGGTCAGTGTTACCCAGAGTCTAGCTTAACCTTCTCTCACAAGCCGGTTCTACCCACAAGTACCTTCCAAATGATGTGAAATTACCTGGTTTACAGTCAACTGGTTTATCCTCAGTCTTTCTCCTTTCCGTGCATTTTAGATTTTAATTTTTTTAAATGCTTGAACCTTAATGTTCCACAATCACTTTTTTGCATTTACGTCTTTTTTATCAGTTTAAATCTTTATTTGCAGTTTGAGGTTTTGTTTCTGTATTTATCCATATAACATATTTAGTGATACATATTTCAGAAAGAATGTCAGAAATTATGGAAGAAGATAAAGTTACCATCAAAGAAGAAATTTCTACTGTAGAGGATCCTTTTATTGTATTAGTAGTGGGAGAAGACGTAAAAGAAGAAAGTACAGAAAATCAAGGTATTGTTAGACATTTTATGTATATTTAAGGATAATTGAATTTTATTTTTTTTATTTAGAAGTTTAAGCTTTTAAATCTAAAGAGCCTTGTCTCAATTTATATTCAGCATTTCAAAATCGAAAAAGTGACCAGTAAAAAGATATTCTTTAAAACTTGTCAATCTTAGTAAAGAAAGAAGCACCTGGAGCCGGTGAATACTGATCATTTGTTTTTGTTTTCATTATTTCAAAATTTTTGAAATATGGCCCCAAACTGATTTTGGAACTTGGCCAATTTTTGTTTTTTTTTAATATTTTAAACGGTACCCTTAAAAGCTTTTTTTGACCAATTATGAAAGAGATAGCTATATATTGTTTTTATTAACTGATTATTTGGATTTCTCTGAAAACTTGTAATTGTAAGAAAAAACCAGTCACTTGATATTACAACGGCAGTCCCAAGAATATTTTATCAAAAATTCAAAGTCATTTGAGATCCTTGAGGTTAATTAATACGTTATTAATTAATTGTGATGATTTATTAATTCTCAGTTTTCAATTTTTCAGGTGAAGTTGTCAAGATTGAAGTAGATCCTCTTTTCTCTCAACAAAAGAGAATTAAAAAAAGTAAGCTGAAAGAAACAAGAGATAAAAGTTATTCCTGTGAAAATTGTGATTATGTTGCAACTAAAGCCAGTAATTTGATAAGACACATTGAATCCAGACATGAAGGAGTAAGATATCCGTGTTCTCATTGTGAATACGCTGCTACTCTAGCAAGTAATTTAAAGAAACATGTTGAAATAAAACATAAAGGACTGAGATATCCTTGTTTAAAATGCGTGTATACGGCAACTACAGCCAGATATCTAAAGAGGCATATTGAATCTAAACATGAAGGAGTGATGTTTCCCTGTGACCAGTGTGAATTTATTGGTATTGATCTAAGTAGTCTAAAAAAACATGTTAAAAATAAACATGAAGGAGTGAGATATCCTTGTTCTTATTGTAAATACGCTGCGACTCAAGCAGGGGAGCTGAAGATACATGTTGAAAATAAACATGAAGGAGTGAGATATCCATGCGACCAATGTGATCACACTGCCACTACAACAAGAAGTCTGAAAAAACATATTGAATCTAAACATGAAGGAATACGATATCCATGTGATCAATGCGAGTACGCTGCCACTCAAGTAGGTGATCTGAAGAAACATATTGAATCTAAACACGAAGGAGTGAGATATCAATGCGACCAATGTGAGTACGCTGCCACTCAAGCAGGTGTTCTTAAGATTCATATTAAAAAGAAGCACGAAGGACTCCATGCAGTGGTTGTTCTTAATAGACATATTAAAAAAAAAACATGAGGGAGTAAGGTAACCATGCNGTTAATCTGAAGATCCATATTAAAAATATTCATGAAGGAGTGGGATATCCCTGTGCTCAGTGTGATTACTTGGCCACTCAATCCTGTCATTTAAAAACACATCAAAAAAGGAAACATTTTAATTAAGAAGTACTTTGCACTGTAAACTTCAAATTTTCTTGTTTTCTCATTGTTTTGACCAAATGTTAATAAGTTATTCAAACCTAACGCCGAAATGTTTAAAAATCATTAATAAATTGCGAGAAGAAAACATTTTTAAATGTATTTTGGTCATTTTACACTCATAACCCTGGATCTGCCAGGGGCTTAAGGGAGGGTGCATTTAGGTGTCTTCTTTTCATTAATCTCTGAAAATTTACTTTATCTTCAATTATTTGTAACTGTTGTTGCACCCCAATTTTTTTCAGGGGGAACGTCCCCAACTATACCAGGGAGATAAGGAATAAAATAAATATCTTTTTATTATATGTGATTAATCTACAATTAAAACTCATGCTTTAAAGATTCACATTCAGATCCAATTCGATTTTAAAGATTTACATTCAGAGTGTTCAGATCCAATCCGAAGACTGTCTGGAAACTCATGTTAAAGGGAAACATGAGAAGGCGAACCAGAATGACCGTGATACTGAAATATAATATCATTTTGAAAATAAAATGTCGCATTTTGGTGTGCGATTTAATCAAGGATATTCATTTATTTTTCTTTGAAATATAACATGTATTGTACAATGTACATATTTCAGAAAGAATGGCCGAACTTATGGAAGAAGATAAAGTTACTACTAAAGAAGAAATCTCTATTGTAGAGGATTCATGTACTGTGTATGTAGTGGGAGAAGATGTTAAAGAGGAAAGTACAGAAAATCAAGGTATTTGTAAACATTTTATATATATATTTTTTTTAGGATGATCGATTTTTGCCTTTTTTTTAGAACTTCGGGCTCATAAATCTAAAAGCTGTTATCACAATTAACTTTATTTACAAATATTATTTTAAAATTTTAAACCATATGAGATACTTTAGGTTAGTTTAATATTTTATTAATTCTCTTTTTGATTTTTTTAGGTGAAATTGTCAAGATTGAAGAAGATACCCTGTTCTCTGAACAAAAGAGACTAAAAAAGAGGAAGCTGACAGATAAAAGAGATAAAATTTATCCCTGTGGAAAATGTGATTATGTGGCATCTATATCCGGTCATTTGAAGAGACATATTAAATCTAAACATGAAGGAGTGAGATATTCTTGTTCTCATTGTGAATACGCTGCCACTCAACCAAGTAGTCTGACAAGACATATCAAAAGTAAACATGAAGGAGTAAGATATCAATGTGACCAATGTGATCACACTGCTACTACAGCAAGTCGTTTGAAGAGACATATTGAATCTAAACATGTAGGAGTGAGATATCCTTGTTCTCATTGTGAATACGCTGCCACTCAACCAAGTAGTCTGACAAGACATATTAAAAGTGAACATGAAGGAGTGAGATATCCTTGCGATCAATGTGAATACGCTGCCACTGCAGCAAGTTGTCTGAAGATACATATTGAGAACAAACATGAAAGGGTGAGATATTCATGTGATCAGTGTGAATTCGCTGCCACTACACTAAGAAATCTTAAATTACATATTGAAAATAAACATAAAGGAGTGAGATATCCTTGTTTTCATTGTGAATATGCTGCCACTGAACCAAGTAGTCTGACAAGACCAATTAAAAGTAAACATGAAGGAGTGAGATATCCCTGTTCTCATTGTGAATACGCTGCCACTCAAGCATGTGATCTGAAGAAACACATTAAATCTAAACATGAAGGAGTGAGATATCCTTGCGATCAGTGTGAATACGTTGCTACTGAAGTACGATGTCTGAAGTTACACATTGAATCTAAACATGAAGGAGTGAGCTATTCTTGCGATCAATGCGAATACAGTGCCACTACAACAAGAAATCTTAAGTTACACATTGAATCTAGTCACGAAGGAGTAAGATATCCCTGCGATCAGTGTGAATACCTTGCCACCCAATCCTGTCACTTAAAAGCACATCAAAAAAGGAAACATTAATTAAGAAGTAGTTTGCATTGTAAACTTCAAATTTTCTGTTTTATTATTTATTTTGATCATTCCAGGGGAGACGTCTCCAAATTTATACCAGGAAGATTAGGAATAGATAAATATCTTTGTAGCCAATGTGATTAATATACAATTTAAATGCTTTAAAGATTCACATTCAGATCTGGAAACTCATGTTAAAAGGAAACATGAGAAAACCAAACAACATGTTCATGGTACATTAAAATTTAATACAATATCGTTTTGAAAATAAAATTTTATATCTTAATGTGCGTTTCATCATGAATATGCTTGCATAGCTGAGATCATTTTTGGGTCTGAGGAAAAGTGGGTGTAGGTTTTTTTATTGCATGAATAAATTAAATTGCACATCAAAAGTCGGATTTTTTTATTTATTTATGTACTTTAGAAATGTGTACTGCATTTGGGGTTTTAAAATTTGTAAATATCAGTAATCAATATCTAAGATAAATTATGATATACAGAAAAATAAACACTCCCTTGCAGTATACAAAGTCTGCAATGTGGATTTTTTCTACAACTTGACATCATACTTCCAATTGTTTACAATAAAAACATATTTTATTTATATCAATACATCAATCAATTAACATTTGGGATCGTATTGAATGAAATTATATGGACCCCTAATACAGATCTCTTGATACCTATATCAAGGTATTTTAAAGAATTTATTCCCCATGCATTAGTAAGCTAACCTTGTTATTGGGATGGTTTATTCACAAATTAAAGGGACTGTTAAACATAATTTCAAGTGATCCTTAATTGATAGAGTACCCTTAAAGGTCCGATTGACCAATTATAAATAAGATATCCATAATTTTGTTTTTAAATAACAAACTATTTTATTTGTGATTTCTCAAGG